GGGGGGGGGCTTGGATTGAAAATAAATTAGAGGAAAGGCCGAAGCAGACATTTAGTAAAATCAATAGATTACCGTAAAAGAACAACTTTAACTTTTTTATGAGGAGTAAACATTTGTTTTAAAGGGACTATGTAAGGTAGTTGAACTGAGTATGCAGTGTTGTGGAAAGATTCTTTAGGATTCCTTCCATAGCTGGTCTGTCCCTTTAAACGATCACAGTATTCATAACTTTGAGAGACATGCATTTCATCAAGCATCAAGATGCATTGCCTTTCCCCCTTTCCCACAATTCTGTAGTTGAAAGTTTCAGTTTTATAAAACAAAAAACTCTCTTATGATTCCAGGGGCACAGCAAAAATACTTGATTTTGCTCGTGAGCGTGCTCTTGCAAGGTAAAGGTAAAATTGCGTTTTCTCTGATCATTTCATAAGCTTTAGCTGACAAAGCACTGAACAGTATTCACATATTTCTTCTTTTAAGTATTTTTGCACTTTTCAACCAGGATTAACTATTTTTTAATCAAGTTTTGGCTAAACCCTTTGTTCGTCATGAAACGTCTACTTTTGTGTCGTCTTTACTCCTTTTTTGTTTCTTACCGTAATGTTCTATGGATCCTATAACAGTTTGCTATTGTTGTTTTTAAAACTGTTAGCTAGGGGCGTTCATCAAAAAGTTTACTTGGGATATTACTTGAAACAGTCTGTTAAGAGTGTTCTCTTGATACATACAAAGATGGCAATACAGAAACCTATGGGTACTTACACAAGTAGCGCCTCAGCTGTGTTGAGGTCAAACTTTACAGTACACTGCATTTGAGAGAGATTCCAGTTTCCTTTAAGGGGTCTAAGATTTGAGAGATTAAAAAAAATGGAGAATACTAAGAAACTTAATAAAATAATTTTCTTAACAAAAATATTTGCATAACCCCATTCGTGAAACCCAGGTTTCAAACTGGTTTCCATAACAATACCCTGTCATGGGCTCAGTGGTTTTCGAACTTCGAAGTTCAGTGTAAGGTTCAAAGAGTAATGTTGTATATCGAGCATTGCTTGTAGGATCAATGATACTACGCTTACAGCTACAGTACCTCGTAACATATTATTGTTAATACAAATTCGAAATACAAGGAAGACGATTTTACCGACTCAATTGCCGTCAACTGTTCTCAAGATGTGTGTATACACACGATCCATTTCCGCCATGAAGCACACACATGGAACCCTCGCTCCTTCGTTCCCCGCCTCACCCTCTACACACCCCAGCCCTCAGTCAGGTTAGGAGAGTTGGGCTGGTAACAGCTCCGACACAGGGAGCCTCTTGACTCCTTCATGCTGATGATGCAGATACTGAGCTAACAGCAGGCGTGCTTATACCCCTGATCTCCCTATTAACTTCTTGAGAAGCTTACTTAGGAAACTTGTGCCCGGCTCCGACCAAAGTTTCCGCTATCTCGAGTTGCATTGCCTTAGTTCAATTGATAAGCCCTGTTGTCCCAGTTCCTGTTGATCTGCTCCACCAACATGAAGCTCTACAACACTCCCATGAAGTGCCATCAAATATCCATCATTAATTCCTTTGTTAATTTCTAAATCAACCAATTTTAACTCCGCCTTATATGCAAATATTTCAAAACTTTCGTTTTTAAATAAATGTTAGAAATATCCATTTCAGATCTCTTTATTTTACTATAGTGACTTTTAAAGTCAACAATTATACAAAAGGTGTTCCTTAAACAGTTTTTAGGCGTTCCTCATAAAGTTTACAAGTTAATATCTACACTTATATTAACAAAAACTAGACAATTTTTATACAGACCATAAAATATTAAAACTAATTAAAATCATAAAAGCATACAATATATCAAAAAAAGGTTTTATAATGGAAGTGTTTGAATTTAGGCTAAATAAAATTGATCCAGGTTAACAATAATATAACATTAATTTATTATCAAATATTTTGAATACTCAATTACATAATTTTTAAAATTCGGTGAAGGTGATGGACCAAACCTCTGTAGAGTAAAAAAGTAGATATTAGTTCCACATTTATTAAATATAATACAAATTACAATTACAATTACAATTTAAATTAGGTAAATAAAACTGGTTTGGTCATTATTTAATTAACAAAAAATAGCATGAATTAAAAAAGCTTACTGTTTTCTTGGATAATTAAAAATTAAATCAATGTTACCACTTGATTTTTCAGAATACAAATGTAAAATTGTAAATTTCAAATTTTAAATTTTCCTTGTTTTAAATAAATGCTCAACTGCGCATGAAGATTGTAAAATACTCAATTTCTTTGTTTGTAAATGCATGGAGATTTAATTCAATAATTCAATATATTTTACCACTTAATATAAACAATGGTGAATTCCTTGAAAGCGAATTTTCACCCCATCCCCCACCTCCCCCCTCCCCCTTGTCTATTATTTTTTAATATTTGGAAATTGAAAGAAAAAAGTATCTTGACGGAAATTTTCTATAAAATTTGAACACAATTTAAAACACGATAACATTGCTGTGTAGTATGGTCAAGAACTCTCGCCTAAGAGCTAGGACCATAGAATTGTCGTTAATTAAACCTAACCCAAACCCAAAATATCGGCTTCCAATATGTTTGGTCATGCAACCCTTTAGAAAATAGCAATTTTCAAAATGAAGCGTCAATAAGATCCTACATTTCAAATTGTGATATAATTTCTTACCCAACATATAACATGAAATCTATACATGTCGGATCAGCAATCAGATCCACGTGGTAATTCCTATTTTAATCACTAGGTTGTGTAATAAGTTTAGATACTCTGGATGCGCTCGTATATATGTACAACAAATGTCGTCTTCAAATGGACTCTCAAAATCCTAAGATGATTTAACTGATTATTGGCGAAAACAGAAGTGAAAACTTTGTTTTTTACAGTTTTAACAATTCTAAAGGTTTTACCAGTTCTAGGAATGTCCATTGCTATAAAGACAACATTTGTTGTACATTGGAGCATATCCAGAGTATCTAACCTTATCATACAACCTTGATTTTAACAAGGAGAATCTGTAATATATGAAATATGAATATTGAACACAGCATTCAGACTCCTGCGCCAACTCCTAGAGTAAGAAGATCTGAACAAACTCCGCACACACGAACAGACTTAGTTAGATTGTACTTAATAATGGGCATCTCCTGAAAACATCAAAACATTACAAAATATTTTCGCAATATTTAGTGAAACAAATTCTGAGGGTGAAATTAATGAGTAGTGAGAAGTTAAGTAGTTTAACTAGGTCTGTATTGTTGAAACTAATCCTCTTGTGCTGCTGCGATTAGAAGCACTAAAAAACTACTTTATCTAGGAACACAATCTGAACTTAAATTTAAACATAGCTAAAGTATTGTAGAAAGAGAGAGGAAAGGCACTCCACAATAACGAGGCAAACTCAACTTCTAGGCAATGCGCTCACAATTATTTCTTCTGACCACACCTTTTTTCATCCAGCATTGTTTACAATCTTTTTAAAGTAGTTTAAATTATTATATTCAAATTTTGAGCCACGCCATGTGTCTATAATGGTTTAACATATTGAAAACACAGAGCAACACCCAAACAAAAATAGGTGCGGTCGGAAGAAATAATATTGTGACGTCTTTTGTTCACGTTTAAATTTATAAGAGCTTGTAAAAAAACACTAAAGTTAATGAGTAACTCTATGGTTCACACCCTGGGTAAACATAAACGGGTCAATATCAGAGACAAGAACCCCCACTGAACTAGACAGAATGAGAAGGTCAAATTTTGTGACCTCTTAGATCCTCTAATCTTGATTTAAGGCACACAAGCGTGAGAAAAGAAATTTATCTAGTTACTTACTAGAAATTCAACAACATTTTTCTTCTTCACAATAGCTCTTTAAAAAGAGTAATTATGATTGAACACAAATAAGATTTCAATCTCACTGCACGTTTGGCGTTACAAGGTTGAAGTGAACCCAGATTGAAAAAATATATGATTTAATGTTTTGTTCTCCTTGGCGCTGCACTTTCCACATAGTAATCTTCCACAGTGCCTACAGTGATGCTTCCTTGTTGTTAAACCAAACTAAATAAGTAATTTAAATTAGAACTGAGAAATTTAAGAGCTGTGCATTTTTTTTTCAATTTAAGTGAATAATTCTACAATATTTACTTTAACTCATAAAATCTATTTGTCAAATATGTATTGACATTATTATGGGTAAATCTTAATATTGAATACCTTAGAAAATGATTTTGAAATTTACTTCTGAAAAATAAATACCCCTGTAAATGTCTAGTTGTCGTAGCTTTCTTTATTTGCCAAAGGTTAACCTGTTACTTACATTATCAAACTACCATTAACCTAAGCAACATCACAAAATGAATTTCTTGAAGTTTCTTATCTTAATCCGAGCTGTACCGGTTAGTCAGGATAAATCAGGAAAATGGAAGTTTAACTGGATATCCTGGCGTACCCTAGTATCCTATGTTATCTGGAGCTTTATACCAGTACTACTGTTTACTCTGAACTATATTCAGGCAGGGGTCATCAGTTAAAAAAAACAGAATAAAAAAATTAGTCAACTATTACATTTCTACATCAAAATCAGCCAAGCTACAAGGATTAGAGATTGGCATAATTTCTATTACAAAACTAAATATTTGAAAACGACAAAACTGTTGTTATTAAGAACAATTAACCAACCATAAACAAACAAATTAAAGCTAAGTTATGAAAACAATTGTTTTTCATAACCAGTGGGGAGTTAGGTAATTTCTCCAATGCAACTTCTCCATGGTATTATCCCAAAAAACAAATTTACCCAACAACTTCTACAATCACTAATTTCACTAGTCACAACTTCCAACATAAATTTCCCCATGCATTAAAATATAAATATTTCTGTTTGAAATTTCCAAATTGAAATGAAAAAAATGTTGGCGCTTCACATCCATGGAAAATCTAGATTTCCTTTGATAGCAATTGCAGCTAGATATTAACAATTCTAATTTCTGTTGCTCACCTTGATATAAAGATATTATGTAATTTTTATTACACAAAATTCTGTTGATTCTAGCAAAGATAAGTTAATTTAAGTAAACAATTTTACTGAAGGGGGACATTTTTTTGGGGGACGTTAGCTATTTGGGAAATTGCTATTAGGGAAATTAGCAGTTGGGAAAATTACTGTTGAGGAAGTCTTATCTAGCCTAAACTTTTACTGAATGAACGATTTTACTGGAAGAACTATTTTACTGAACATTGATTTCACGGATCAACAATTTTATTTAACAGATCTTCAGTTAAAAACCGAACAAAACATAAGGTAAATGAACAATGATTCAGTTAACCAAGGAATTAAAATTTTTACAGAATGACTAAAAAAAATGGGTCCTAGACAACCAATAAACCAAAGAATTGAACAAAAACCAGGAGAAAATAATGTACTTGTAACCCAAAATGCAATTGCACCTCAAATGGAATTTCTTTTAACCCCCGAATTCAGGTTTACCAGGATCCAAGTTCTCCAAAAATCCCTTTGAGTTCTGTATATGGAGTATCTTACTACATTATTTTATTAAACGCATTCATCATGGCCTTCTTCCCCCTTCCTTTAATGGCAAAGATGGTTGAAAAGTCTAATATTAATCCAAAAAGAACAAGATACACCAAACTTTATCTTGTTTTAATACAGATTCTTAGCTCTGTCCTCCTTCTATTAGCTTTTGTATATTCAATGAGGGGAAGCAGTATACATAGAATTATATATTTTGCTCTGGCATATCTGGGAGTAACTGCCTTGAATACTTTTCTACTCTTAGTGATAAATGCCATTTGCAATTCATTCGTTGAAGAAACTGAAAAGGTTCAGAAATTGTCTGAGGTTCGTAGTTTGATTACCGAATCCTACCAACTGGTATGTAGGCTAAGGAGTATCAAGACTGCATTTAATCCACTACTTTTTATCATGTTACCCTTAAATGTTGTTCTGTCTCTTGTTCTTTTGTACACTTGCTATTTTTATCTTGTGGATGCACAATATTTGGAGTTTATCAACAAATTCTGTATCCTGGTTGGGATAGCTTTAAATGTGTTTTATTATACCCATTTCTGTAATATTACTCATCAAGCACTATCCAACAACAATGACAAGCTGAGGTAGATTAATGTAAATAACTATTATTTAAATTTTGGGGATGCAAATATTAATAAATATTTTCCACAATGATTGGACATTATGACAGTACCAATAAAAATTCTTTCCACATAATCTTGTGAGACAAGCAATTTGAAAATGTGAAATCCAAAACCTTAGTAGATTTAAGAAATGATGACTACTTATTTTTTTAACTGTGCAACAGTACAAACATGTTTTCTCCATCTTAACACATTAGTAAGATTTTTTTTGGACAGAATAATTTTTCTTTTCCAATAGACAATTTTACTTATCAATGCTTCTTATGTACAGACAAGTAGCACTCAACAGTTGTGGGGAAGATAAAAATGATTTACTAATAGGTAAAAAAAACAAAGTAAGAATATAACTTTTTTTAATATTATAATTTTTAGTTTTGGCCATGATAGAGGCAGAGGGACCGTTTACAGCTTATGACTACTTTGAAGTAAACAATTCATCCTTCATGTCAATCATCAGTCAGACCATTGGATATCTGATTATCATGATAACTTTGAAGTAAATCAGAGTTGACAACCCTAGTTTTTTCTCATCTTTTTGTTGTTTTTTTAACCCTGCCCATGGGTAAGATTTTTTCACAAGGTTTAAAGTGCAACCTAGTTTATAGACCAAAAGATTTAGGCGCTTTTCTTCTTATTTTTAGATTAGTAAATTATGAATCACATGATTTTCACAGAACAAACCTGTTTAATTCTGGATTTAAGAAGTAATTAAAGTATTATTAGTGTTTTCTGTTTTTTTGTTTATATCAGGTTCGTATCTTTATATTCCAGGTGGTTGGCAACCCTAAAGAACATTATATTTTCTAAATGGCAATATTTTAGAAATAACTTTGAAGTAAATTATAATATCTATATCTTTGCATGAAGTATACTATTATTGTTTTAAGTCTATAATCAACCTTGAACAATCTTTTTGTCTTTTCAACTTTAGTAAATTAGTATTTGTTCCGAAATTATGGAACGTTCCAAAATATTGTTCCGGAAAATTCCAGTTTAAGGAAAAATCGTTCCGGAATTTTCTGGGAAAACATAACGGAAAAACGTCTTAAATTTATGTAAAAGATAAAACCAGTAAGTTATAATATCTACATAATAATAGAATGTGCGCCTGTTTAGCTGTAGTTAAAGTAATACTACTGTGAATTATCATGGAATATAAATACTGACTGCCAAAATAATTTGATCTACAGAAAACTATGGAAAGGAAGAAAACATAAATAGCAATCCTTAAGTCTATTTGATGTTGTTATAAAGCAAACAAGTTAAATAGTAACTTGTAATATCACTTTTAAATTGGTCTGTATACATTATATATAGTATGCGCTACGTAATTGCCGTTATCATGTTCATTGAACTATTTAAAGTCATAACTTCAGTCTCAAAGTAGTTCTCCCATTCCTGAGTTTTCTGGTTCACACCCTATTTGTATACTTTACTCGTTTGTTTGTTTGTATCCAATAAACGTCAAAACAGCGGAACCGACTGAGCCCAATACTCCAAAACTGGAAATTTTACGATTTCCATTTCTTAAACTGGAAAAATTTCCGGATTACATCACGTAAACTGTAAACATTTCATTTTCCATTTGTTCCGGAATTATCCCGGAATTCTGGTTTACGCAACAAATTTCCGGATCATTTCATTTCCAAATAGAAATTTTGTTCCGGAAAAATGGAAACCCTAATCGCACCATATTTATACTTATTATGTTTTATAAGTGTTCACATATTGTTTACCTTATAAGTCAATAAATTACTTTTATTAATAATAACTGTTTACCAAAGGTTTTAACCGAACAACAGTTACATTGAAAAGTGTTTCATTTAATTGCCACGAAACTCAAGAATAAAAGATATAAACGTTTAAAGTTGTTATCTGGTAACCAAAATTTATTATCCAAACTCTACCATTTTTAAACATTCTTTATTCTGCATAACTCCTTAATAAAATAAACAAAATAAAAAAATAAAAAAATAATGCAATATTATACCTTTGTTTGACATTCTTGGCAAAGATCCCCCTCCCCCCACCTTGGCTCTGTTCCAAGCATGTCAAGCAATCTACAAAAACAAGATTGTTAGGTATTGTTATGAAAATTTTAAATACATATTACAACCGGCTTTGCAGAATAAAATTAGGAATACTTATTTGAATTAGTTTTTAATCATTAATACTATTTCGGATGAGTCTTTAAACCTAGATAGTGGAAGGTAGACGTGTCCTAGCTCCTGATTAACTTATGGTTTATTTAATCAGACCCACAATTGGTCTAATTCATGGGATCTTACAGATACCATCAAATTGTAGCAACTATGTACTGAATGGTTATAGAATAGGAATAGAGGGGGGGGGGGGGCCTGGAACCGACTTAGTACTTTCGTAAGATTACAGCTAATCCATCTTTTAAAAATACCTATCAAACTGATTTAAAATTAACACATTAAACATTTACATCAACTTAACAAAAAACATGTTATAATAATGATTATTAAAATAAAGGATCAATCTTCATTTCCAACTGATTGTAATTTATAATTTGAAAATTTTCTTATTAATTTGATTTTTTATTAGTATGAAACCTTAGTGAACAATTTATAGTTTTTAACCTGAAAAGCAGCTGTTTTGTAGCTACAGGATGATTAAACATGCTGACCATATTTTTATTCATGGTTCCAAGAACTGCTCCTTGATTCACCAAGGCCCGACATAGATCTCCATTTCCCTATACAGCAGAAAGACACTGTACAAGATACTCCAACTATTTCCTTATTTTCCAACATCCCGCCCCCCCCCCCTCTTTTTAAAAGATATTTCTTTTTTAAAATACGTTTAAGTCTTTTTCTGAATATTTTTGGTCCACATTTGAAAACTTAAAAAAGCTAAAAATCTTAAATCTAATCAAAATGACAGGTTTTAACAACAATGACTGAGGGCTGAAATAAACCTTTAATGATCCAACTTTTGATGCAATTAATCTGTTAAATTATCTAATACTAGCTGAAGTGCCCGGCGATGCCCGTGGAATTTTAAAAACACTTTAAAAATTGAATACAAATTTGTTTAGCCAATATTAACCCCAGGGTATCCAATCCAAGGGTTACCTAAAAAAATTTCAGCCAATTTGGTCCAGCCGTTTGGCCAGCTATAGATAACATATAAATACAACAATATAAATATATATTTTTGAGCAAAGAGCTTTATTTTATTTAAGATATTTACCTTTATATAAGCTGATAGCAGAGGTGTGTTTCCTGATAAAAAATATATGTTATAAAAAATACAATTACTGTCATCTATTTAATATAAAGAAGGGCAGAAATAACCATGCGTTAATAATACTCTTTTTTTAAACAGTGGCGTTTCTGATTCACAATGGTACCTATACTGTGGCGTACAAGAGGGGGGGTAAGGCAGGCCACCCCCTTTCCCTAAGCGTGCCCCCCATAAAAAAATACTTTAAAATCTCACTTTTGCCCTTAACTAAAAAATTTCATTAAAAAAGCTTTAATCAATACTGCCTTCAGTGAAAGTTTCTTTGATATCATTATTTATAATACAATATGTATCGTTTCCATGAAAATATAGATATTTTTTAAGAAACGATTCCATCTCTACAGTATTAAGAGGAAAATTATATAAATAATTTGTTAACAATTGTTATGTGGAAGTGTATATATGATCAAATAGTTCACTTACATAGTTAAAAAGGTATCGATATTATTTTCAAAAAAGGGGCTTTTAAGGGGGACCACAATGTTGACAAGGGGAGGGAGCACAAAAATGTGACCCCCCCTACACAAATGCTCTAGTACGCCCCTGTACCTTTACACCCTTAAAGTAACTTTTATCAAAAAAAAAACAATATATTTTCCAAAAGAAACAGAATTAAGGATTTCTTTATTCAACCTTGACAAAAAGGTTTAAAAGGTACCATTGCGGATCGGACATGTCACTCTTTATATTAAAGGAAAGTCACTTGAAATTACGTCTGAAGTTTTTTCAAAGAGACTGAAGTGTAATTTCAAGTGACCTTCCATGGAGAGATATCGACGCCCTTTTCAAAAGGGTAACCTTAAAAATTTAAAATTATAATTAAAGATGGAAGTAAAATTATGAGTGATCGATATCGGATTCAATTCGATATCAATACCCCCTTTCACTTTTTACAAACACTCAGTTAGGTAACAATAATTTGAAATATAACAGGTTTTAACCGGTCTGCTGATCTTGCTTTACCTTCTGTATCCTGTTTAATTCATGCATAGTCTCCATGAACACATTGAATATATCCTTTACCTTCTGTATCCTGTTTATCTATAGGATATTCCTGCATAGTCTCCATGAACACATTTAATATATCTTTTACCTTCTGTATCCTGTTTATCTATAGGATATTCCGGCATAGTCTCCATGAACACATTGAAAATATCCGTTGTATTTCTCTCCGTAAACCTTGCTAATACATGCAGGGGTGATCTACCCTTCTCATTCAACAACTCGGCGTCTATCCTGAAAAAAGGGAAAAATTAAATTTTTTGTGTTGAATCTGGTCAAAACCATGATTTCTATGTATAAAATAGTTATCATTATTTGTCCAATCATAACTCAGGAACCCCCTGCCCGATCTGCCTAAAATTTGTATTCTGGAACTAAGCAGAACCATGTTCTTAGCTTATTTTAAAAGTTCAATTCTAAGTTGAGAAGGTTGACTATTATGGAGAAGGATTGGTTTCTAGGCACACTGGGCGGGTTCGACACTTTTATCAGTTCTAACAATAAAATAACAATCAAAATAATCAAAACGAAATTAGAAGAAAACAAAATTGAAAAAATCACAAGAATAAAAACCTTAAAAACTTGTAAAGGTTGTAATGAAACTCAAATCTTGAGACGTAAAAATAATAATTTGCAATCACTTTATAAGGAATGCTATTAGTCAATAATTAGTCGTTAAGATTTGTTTCCGTTCAAATAAATTATAAAGTGAGGATTTGGAAAAGGCAAAATTGTTAATAATATTTCAAGTGAACATTTAATCAACTGATAAAAACATTTTATTAGAAGAAAGCGTTAAATTTTACATGTAATAATAAAAAAATAATTTGATGGCAGTCAAACCTTCAATCTTGAGATTTTAGACTAGATCTTGTAGAAACTTGAAATCCCGAAATGATCAAACATCTACCGAGGACTACTAAACCAACTACCTGGATACAGAGAGGAGAACTTAAACCTACTCTAACACCTACATGAATACATCTAATCTAACCTACTCAACCAACTACCAGATTAAGATAGGAGAACTTGAACCTACTCTAACACCTACATGAATACATCTAACCTAATCAACCAACTACTTGGATACAGAGAGGAGAACTTAAACCTACTCTAACACCTACATGAATACATGATACATCTAACCTACTCAACCAACTACCAGATTAAGATAGGAGAACTTAAACCTACTCTAACGCCTACGTACATCTAACCTAATCAACCAAATACCTGGATACAGAGAGGAGAACTTGAACCTACTCTAACACCTACATGAATACATGATACATCTAACCTACTAAACAAACTACCAGATTAAGATAGAACTTAAACCTACTCTAACACCTACGTACATCTAACCTTATCAACCAAATACCTGGATACAGAGAGGAGAACTTGAACCTACTCTAACACCTACATGAATACATGATGCATCTAACCTACTAAACCAACTACCAGATTAAGATAGAAGAACTTGAACCTAATAGAAAGCTAAGATTGTGTCCTTGTGTGGCATTTAGAGCCAGGTGGGTTATGTCCTGGTTGACTTTGTTGGCTTACGATTTGTCCTGGACTGGTACAGTTTGAGATGAAGTTTTAAGAGTACAGCATTTGCTAAATGAGTCCATCTAACCTACTCAACCACCTACCTGGATTCAGAAAGGAGAACCTGAACCGTCTTTACATTCCCTTCTCTAACAGCTACATGAAGAGCGTTATTTCCATCCTCATCAACTGTAAAAAACCGGTTATAAAAGACAGAAACAGTTTCTTTGATGCGCAAATTAGAAATAATATAAACTCATGAAGAATAACAAAATATTCTCATTGCTGGGGGATCGTTTAATTTATGTATTCATTTATATATCATGTTTCCTTTTTGTTCTTATTTTAGATGGGGCTAGGTTTTAGTGATAATTGCAAGAAACCTATATTTTAATATAATCATCAGCTATTTTTTTACAATTAATTTCTAAATTTCAAATTTAACAATTTTATAAATTGCGGCATTCTGTGTCAGTTTGTCAAAAAGCGTTCAACAACAAAAATGAAATAGGGTTTCTATTTGAATACAAAATAAGGTTTTAAATGATTAAGGAAATGGTATAATAAAATGCCAACCTGCTGCGTACTCAATATTATTGTTTATGAGTACACTAGCTATCTCAGGTAGATCTCTCTCTGCAGCTATATGAAGACCAGTCTGACCGGTCAACGTTCTTTCCTGGATTAAAGGGACTGTTGTCGTAATATCAAGTGCCTACTACGCAAGCATCCCTGATTCACAACGGTACCCTTGAAACCTTTATCTGATTATAATTCTGGAAGATAACGTCGTTTTTCTAGAGTAAACGGTGTTGTTTACTTCTTATAATTCCTACATCATTTTTCTGCAGAAGAAAAGTGCATGACCCTTTTGTAGAGAATCCACAATTAAAAATAATCATTTGTCCAAATTGTGACATGGATATCGAACTAATTCCTATCAAAACAACTATTCTGGATACCGGTTATGTATTGGAAATGCTACCCTATAAAATAAAGGATCACTTGAAATTACACTTACAGCGCAATAAAACATAGAGGTCGGACTTCAGTAACTTATTAACTACAGTCATATTTACTAAGAAACGGAGATTCTTGGCAATTAAAAGACGACTTAAAGATCGTCTTTGATAATTGAAATAACTTGCGGCAACAAATAGTGAAATTTACATGCATAATTCATTATACATTAATCACAAAACAACCACTGTTCTGACATTTCAAAGTGTGGTCTGTCCTATGAGTTTTACACTAAAAAAGAGTTTTAAAGCAATGATTTTTATTTCTAAGCCAAGCGGAGTATGTAAAATATTCCCCCACGTTTTCATTTTTGAAATTTTTTCTTTTTAAAGTCAGTTATCAATAAAAGTTTTTTTTAACAGTATTTTGCTGGGATTCTGTTGGTATGGGGAAGGGTTCTGTTAACTACCTAGGTTCGAACTGGATACTGCTGGGCTCATGGCCGCATGGCCCCCCCCCCCTCCCTCGTGCTTTAAAAATGACCGGTGATATTTATGCTTACGCTCAGAAATAGAAGTTTTAATTAATTAATTGATATCTCAAATAGAAAATATAGAAGTCATGACTATCGGTAAGTCTTTCTCCCCCCCCCCCTCCCTTTCTAGGAGGACCATGCGAACCAAGGGATTCATAATTAATATTCATAAAAGTGTAAATATGTTACAACAGATTTTCTAGAAAATTATATTTAATACCTGAACATTCGCTCCGGCAAGGATCAAATTTCGAACCATCATTTCGTTTCCAACCTTTAGAAATACGGTTTAGTTAGTAAAAATTTGAGACAAATCAGTCCATAGGTTAATGATTTATGATCGGACATCCTAACAAACAGACCAAAAGACAGTCAAACAGAGATTACTACTTTAATACCTGGACGGCTAGTAGAAGGGGGGCCAGCTTATTAGCATCTGTAGTTTTAGAGTGCACATTTACACTGATAAATGGAAAAATTAAAATATTTTTTTTTAATTTCCAATAAATTTAAACAGAGAGAAGCACCACCTTGAGAGTGCACACGCACAAATCTTGCTTTAGTTAGTATTAAGATGAATCGGACTTATTTTGTTCCGACCCTCTCCAATATCTTCTCTTCAATATCTTATCTTCAAGATATTATAAAGGGTGTTTCCCGCAGCATTCTAATGTGAACACAATCCCAGTTTAAAAAGTTAATAATTGACGAACATTTACAAATTATGAAAAAAACACCAAAATTGCTGAATTGTGTATATCTCCGTCAATAAGATACACAAATTGAAGACGATTTTATTGTCGTCCCATGTTTATTAGACTATTAACACTTAATGGTTATATAATAAGAAACTAAAGTTTAGTTTTAAATCCTTCCTGATAGAGATGAGAAACAAAAGTGCCTCCAGGTCTCCTCTGAGTATAGCGGTGTGCAGAAAGTTCTTTCCCCTTGTCATTCATTCGTGACAGAAAAAATCATTCAAAATCAATTCCCAAGAATATCAATACATGATGAACCACAAAGGATGAGACTTAAATGACGACTGAAGAAATTTCGTACAGTGTCTCTTAAGTCTTGTACATTGTGGAGAAACCTGAATCTCAGGTCACTTTCAATGTTTAAAGGGAGTGACCGGCTTAACATGGTAGTTAAACTGAGCGTGCAGTAGTTTAGATAAAGATTTAAGGATCATTTGATACTAATAAGTCTTCTTTACTGTGTATAATAGCTGAGTAAGTGCGCAAAATCGATCCTTTAAATTCTTCCAGATGGCCTTTTTTGGAGGTTACTTTTTAAGAGTCGTGTTTTTAATTAGTTTTATGTAAAATTTGTGTTACATTTTTCATCGTCATTATTTAACAATTAAATAAACGATTCTAATGTATCCTCCAAAATAGCAAATCTTGGAGACTTCTTGAGATCGATTTCGCACTCTTACTCAGCAATTATACACCTTAAAAACGTCTTACTGGTATAAAATAAATCCCTGAAATGTTCTGTTTAATATTGCACTGTCGACTCAACTACCATGTCTAGCCGGTTACTACCTTAACAATGAAGACAAATTTTTTGTCAATTCTAAAATTCCTTGCGTCTGGATGTTCTGCAGCTCCAGGCTCAAGCTCGAGGATCACTCTGGAAATATAAAATGTACCATTCTTCTTTAAAAATCAACNCCCCGACCTAGAAATCATACAAAACCTAAGTATGAAATAGGAACACTTTGAGGAGGGAGGAAATATTTAAAAATATATAAGTCAAAAATCATCTTTTTTACAAATCATAATCTGAGTTTCTTTCCCCTCTTTTCATTTGACAACCATATTTTTTTTTATTAAGTTTTCTGTTTAGTTTTTAGTGATTTTTTAACATTCTAAAATATTAATTTTAAAATTTTAATATCTTGAGAACTGAAAAGGGTCAACCCAGTCCGAAGTATGTTTTCAAAAAATCATGGAACTAACACCTTTCTTTTTACTCTGCAAGGTTTTGAGAATCTCTAACACCGAATTTTGAATTCTTAAATTTTAAATAAATTGGTGTTAGACTAGCAGAACGGGATAATATTTCACATATTCCCAAAGGAGCGAATGTAAAACTTTAAAATTCCGACAAAAAAAACTTAAAGAATTTAACTTGTTCTTCTTTTCTTTTTCCCCAAGTAAAATGAAACTCTTTAAATTGATGAACAAAGAAAAAAGGTTTTGTGAAGTGTTACAACAAACAGACAAATAAAAATCTAGAGACGGATAATTTTAGTTTGAGTTGTAGAAGGGTGGCAGGAAGCTCCTGAATTTTGTTTACCTGGCAGCTGAGTTGTTCTTGAAGGTCATGGCACAAGCAAAAGGGCTTAATCCTGCTTTATCTCGACAGCTTAGGTTAATGCCTGGAAACAAAATGTAAATGACAAAATACAATTTACTCTCAATTTTTGTTTTTGTTGATTTTTTTCTAACAAGGAACTGTCTAAGCTTTTTCTAGTGAGATTGTTACATGCGGGATTTACAAGGGCACCGTACACCTTTTTGTTGAATTAACAATGAGGAAAATATTTTAGTTTTTCTGGTTATAAAATGTATAGATTCTTTTCATTCATTCATGCAAAAATCACCAAGTTACTTTTAATCAATCAAATCAAATCATAATTTGCAAAATGGCTTATGGCATCCTTTGTAATGGTCAGAGGCTCAATTCCATCCATACTCCGAGTTTCAGTTGGATCTTCAGCATGTATGATAAATATGATTAACTTTGTTTTATCGGAGGTCTTTAAATAAATTGAAAGAAACTTTTGTAGTTTAAACTATTTTGCTTTCCGATCACAGCAAAAGAAAAACAATAATAACTCCGTCATTTTTACTCATACAAAGGTCTAGAGGTTGCCATTGTGGTTTTGAAACTTTAAATTAAGTCGACAAATCCTGTAAATAATCTATATAATAAAGCTCTTTGCTCATACATATATGTCATATAAAGCTGGCCAAAGGGCTACACCAAATTGGCTATATTTTTTTGAGGGAACCCTTGAGTACCCTGGGGGTAACATAGGCTAAACAAATCCTAAGTTTTTATCGTGTTACTAAAATTACAAGGGCAACGCCGGACACTTCATCTTGTATCCAAATATGATTGAAAATAATAAGGTAAAAATTAATTTTTCACGAATTGCATGATTTTCTAACCTGGGCAACCTAGAACCATGTTAATTATCCCACTCTGCCCATTTTCTATAGCATGATGGAGCACTGTCTTTCCTGAAATAGAAATTTAGGAAGCTTCGTACCCCTCTGTCTGCTGTTTTTGTTTCAATAATACATTAGTATAATAATGTTGCAGTGAAATATTAATCCATAAAACTGGAATAGAAGGCGTTATGAAAGTAGTTCTGAAGCAAACACTTTTATCAGTAGCTTGAAACCAATCTTACTTTTAAAAAAATGGGCTTGCGTACCATTGCGCAATTGTTATATTTCATAATTGTTGGTCTAAAAACAATTACTACTTGAGTTTGATAGTCGACATCCTATTCTACAGTTTGAAATGTCCCACTGTATTCTTTTTTTCCCGCCTTTTCCGACAAAAACGAAAACAAATATTTATTCAAGTTTATTAATGATTTAATGTCCAAACAAATGGATTTAATCAATCAAATCTTTTATTCCCTAGGGTTCCTTGTTTATTACCTTCAGCGTCCTGTTTGTTAATATCTGCTCCGTGTTCAATCAGACAAGTCACGACCTTCTCTTGACCCCACTGAGAAGAAAGATGAAGAGGTCCTTGACCATCAAATGCTTCAAGACCGCCTAAGTAAGAAATAGATTACGTCACGACCTTCTCTTGACCCCACTGAGAAGAGAGATGGAAAGGTCCTTGACCATCAAATGCTTCCAGACCGCCTAAGTAAGAAATAGAATACGTCACGACCTTCTCTTGACCCCACAAAGAAGAGAGATGAAGAGGTCCATGACCATCAAATGCTTTAAGACCGCCTAAGTAAGAAATAGATTACGTCACGACCTTCTCTTGACCCCACAATGAAGAGAGATGAAGAGGTCCATGACCATCAAATGCTTTAAAACCGCCTAAGTAATAAACATATTACGTCATGAACTCCGGCTGACCCCACTAAGAGGAGAGATGAAGAGGTCCATGACCATCAAATGCTTCAGAACCGCATAAGTAATAACAAGATTACGTCACAACCGTCTCTTGACCCCACTAAGAAGAAATTTGAAGAGGTCCTTGACCATCAAATACTTCAGGGTCTTCTATGTAATAAACTAGTTTGTAGTTATGACCTCACCCTGATCCCATTGAGAAGAATAAGTAAAAGGTGTTTGACCATCAAATATATACTAACACTAAATAACAATAAGTCATGACCATCCTAAAACCCAACTTGGAGATAAAAAGAAGAGGTCTTTAACCATTTAATTCTCCAAAACTCACTGCGAGGGAAAGCAGAAATCTCAAATCAAAACAAAGAAAAACTCATAAATATATTAGCCCCCCAAAAATCGGGAGTAGTGGGGAGTAGTCCCTTTACCTTTTCCTCCGTGTCCTGGTCTTCTAGGAGAGTTAAGATCGCATCCAGATCTGATGAGGAAACAAGCAATATCCTCCCGGTTCTCATCTATGGCTCTACAATTATAAATCAATTATTTTTAGGGGGGGGGGGGTTATAGTACAGTAGATATCAACAGAAACAATTAAACAATTTGCAAAAAACCCCCCCTGAACACATTACACCATAGATTTTTCTCCGAATTAAGTTATATCCAAAGCTTTCTGGGAATTACACCAACAGAAAATCAACACGATATTCAAAGAAAAAATTAGACTAAACCGACAATGAGTAGAGGAACCGACTGAACGCGTTATCAACAGATTAAAAATTTAAAAGTTTCAACCTGAGGTTTAATAGTAATAATAATAATGATAATAGTGATAATAATAATAATCATGATAATAATGATAATAATAATACCTGTGAAGTAGGGTTTGATCACATTCATCTGGTCCTGGCCCCCAGCCCTCGGTATCTACTCCATGTCTAAGAAATTCAAATTTAATAAATGAACTTATCAAAACTTGATTTAGACTGATAAGGACTTTGAATTAGATTTAGACTGATAGAACTTTTTAAAATTAGATTTAGAATGATAGAACTTTTCAAAATTGGATTTAGACTGATAAGGACTTATCAAAACTAGATTTAGACTGATAAGAACTTATCAAAAATAGATTTAGACTGATAAGGACTTATCAATATTATAATCAACTGATAAGGACTCGTCAAAATTATTTAGACTGAAAAGGACTTATCAAAACTAGATTTAGACTGATAAGGACTTATCAAAATTATATTCAGACTGATAAGGACTCGTCAGAATTAGATTTAGACTGATAAGGACTTATCAAAATTAGATTTAGACTGATAAGGACTTATCAAAATTAGATTTAGACTGATAAGGACTTATCAAAATTAGATTTAGACTGATAAGGACTCGTCAAAATTAATTAATTAACGTAAAACTAAATGTCAAGGCGTTCAGACAGTTTTAACTTAATAGTCGACCCAGGCTTTAAAATGTATGCGCAATTTTTATAGCTCTCTTAATCTCTGTGAATATGGTACAGTTGAAGGCAATCGTATCAATACAATGAAGACGACTTTCTATTTCAATTTTGCTGCTAAACAGCTAAACAGCTAAACAGCATTGATACCCATAACGATATAAGTCAAGAGAAGCTGTTAATTGATTACTTTGATTACTTGTAAACTTGTAATTCGAAAAAGCTGATAAACAATCAAAACTTTAAAAAGTCTTCATTGTGTAGATGTAATCGCCTACCAATTTATCTAACACCTACCTAACAATAATACTGGCAATATCTTCAAGTCCAAGATCTAAAGCAATCCATACAGGTGGCTCCCCTGTACTAGAGGACTGAGTATCTGCTCCTGCCAGGCACAGTTTCTCAACTAATAATAAAAATAAAAGATCAACTATCATTCCATAGAAATTAAGACAGGCTACTCATCAGAAATAACCCCACAACGACGGAATTCAGTGTAACAGTTGACTTGACACACAAGTCTATGTGCGAAACAACATGTCGATCGGGCAAGGCCAGTGATAAAAAACCTTACTGCAAACCAACTGTTCCTTGGACTTAGCCCATCTCGATTCTCGGTACCAGGTCAGTATATATACAGTTGTCAAAAGTAAATCTGATTTTATAATTAATTTATTATTATTAGAATTGTTTCAATATTTCATAAAGCTTTACCTACAGGTTCTATATCAGCTCGTATAGCCAGCTCTAGGGGGGTCATCCCTTGCGGGGATCGAATGTTGATATCAGCGCCATGTTGGAGAAGGAAAATAGCCGCGCTAGGGTTTCCGTCGACAATTGCTTTCTGGAGAAGAGTGAAACCGTTGGCGTCGGTTATATTAACGTCAGCTCCGGACTCTATCATTAGATCAGCTAAGTGACTGAAACCTAAAGATGATGTAAGCTAGGAAAAAAATCTACGAAATAAATGTCTCTGTACTTGGTATTGTAGGATAAGAGATGTCGTCATTGCGTTAGTTTTGTAACAGTGAACATTTTTTAATTGTTGATTAAAAGAGGGTATATTTGTAGATTATTAACTCAAAATCTACAAACGACAAATCCTTTCAATCAATAAGTATTATTTATTTTCGGGTTTATGCAAAAGGATAAGAACAAAGACAAATGTTAAAGAGTAAAAAGTAAATATTACTAGCTCACAAATAAACAAACTCAAATAACGCAAGTTTGAGCTTAAATGGAGTTCTGCTGAGTCCGAATTTAATGAATTTGAGCCGCGTCTCAAATCCGCCAAAAACTGGTTTCAATTGAGCGCCGGCTTATATCTTGAAACATAGAATACAATTTTAAGTGGAACCAACCATATTTGAGTCGCGTCTGAAATTTAAGCCGCGGCTCAAATTCTTTAAAAAACTTCCGTAAAGTCCGATTGACAAAAGTACCCTTTTTTCTAGCAGGAAAATTCTGACAAAATCATTAGTCAGTTTTGTAGAGAACTGCAATAAAAAAATAACAAATATTTTCAGACATAAAAGTGAGAAAACTTTAAGGTTTTAAGGGTGTGAATTGGATATGCCCGTATATAAATGAAATTTTAAAGGACACCCTATCTCCCAAAACTCAACTTTTAAGTGACTGAACAACAAATAAAATAAAATTAGACGTTTAGGGACACTTCACTAAATTTGCAAAATGAGTTTACTAAGTGAGGACTGAACTATTGATTTACCTGTATGTAAAGCCAGAGCTAGCGGGGTTTCATCTTCTGAATTCTTTAGATTTAAATCCAGTAAGACAGTTGATAAGCCATCAGATGGTTGGCTAAACTCGAGCAGACAAGATACAACAGTTTCCTAAAACAAATTTATTAAGAACTTTGGAAATTTTTAGCTTAAACGGACTTTCGTCGTAATTTCAACTGAGTCTCCTTTTTCTAAGTGTCATGTCGGATTTACAACGTTGACATTGAAATCTTTGTCGGATCAAAAATAAATTAGATATCCACATAAACTCTTACAACAAGAATCTCCATCTACTACTAGGATATCTACCAGTTCGTTAAGATGTAGAGGTGTTTGTCTCCAAGTATCTTCATCTACTACAAATACTAGGATATCTACCTGTTCGTTAAGATGTAGAGCTAGATGTAGAGCTGTTTGTCTCCAAGTATCTCCATCTACTGCAAATACTAGGATATCTACGTAAGAGTAAGCTAGCTGCTAGATGTAGAACTGTTTGTCTCCAAGTATCACTTCTATATCTACTACTAGTATATCTACCTTTTTGTTAAACCAAGCTAGACGTAGAGCTGCTTGTCTCCAAGTATCTCCATCTTCTACTACTACTAGGATATCTACCTGTTTGTTAAGTAGAGCTAGATGTAGAGCTGTTTGTCTCCAAGTATCTACTTCTACTACTAGTATATCTACCTGTTTGTTAAGTAGAGCTAGATGTAGAGCTGTTTGTCTCCAAGTATCACCATCAACTATAGAAGTTTGAAGGTTTGGATCTGCTCCAGCCACTAGTAGAGCTGTGGCTAAGGTAGCTAATCCATGAATGGCTGCTAGATGAAGAACAGATTCACCGCGTCGGTTTATCTAAAGTAAAGTTTGATGTAAAATAAAAATGTTTAAGAAAAATCTAGAAGAACAGTCTACACTGATCCAGAATGGAAATTAGTGAAACCAAAGAAAATTTTGGAAAACCGAACAAAATTTGAGTGGAAAGAAATGGATTTAAGTTCAAGAAGAATGAAAGGGAAAGGGACAAAACAGTGCTTAGGATCCAGTTCATGTTAATGCGGAAAATGATCCGAATTCTAAATCCCGGTCATGAACATTTCTTCCAAGATGTTCTCATTATTAAGCATATAAAAATTTTCCACATTTATTTTCTTTTCTTTTTTCGTTCACTTTTATACTGAAACTTGATGGAAGTCAGAGATAAGAAAGTTATTAATAATCTCTCTTTATTTTTTTAAAAGTTCAGATTTGTGTTTAGAGAGAGTTTTTCTGTAGCAGGGTTTGTATGACATTTTTTACCTTGAATCCTTAGCACTGGAAAATAATTAGAGATAAAATTAATTTTTTATTGGAAAAAAAACAGGAAGGAAATAGGATATACTAAAATCGATTATTTACCTTGTTAACATTAGCTCCTGAAGAAACAAGAAAGAGGCAGGCCTCCTCCCTGGCCTGCCCTGCCAGAAGGTGGAGGATGGTATCGGAGGCCGGGCTACAGATACTGTTAACATCAGCGCCAGCCTCCACTAACCTCTGCGCGTAACTGTTCTCTTCAAACTTCTCTTCTTTCATCTTAACGAAAATTAAATACATTTAAGGACACTATATCTATTTATATTAAGCAGTAATCTCTATTTGATTGTATATCCGATCATAACGGAGGAACCCCATGACCTATTTGCCTCAAATTTTAATTGGGGAAATCAGTAGAACCACGGAAATGTTCTTAGCTTTGTTTAAAAGTTTCTAGAGAACAATAAGGTTCTAGGCAATATGCTTGGTTCCCAAGCTGGTTCTTTATGTAAAACAAGCTTGGGAACCCAGCTTTGCCTGGAGTTTTCTCTAAAAAGTAAATTTACTAAATTAGCAATTTTCAAACCAAGCTTAGAACATTACAGGTATTCTAACAAGTTCCCCCATAAAAACCTGAGGAAAATTGGACCAGGGTTTCCTCAGCTAAGATCATACAAACATACAATCAACAGACGAGCATAGATCACTACTTCATACATCATAGTTTTAAAGTAGTAATTCTGTTTGCTTTTATCACCTAGAATAACCATAGATAAAAATAGATTGCGCATAAGACGACATTTTTCATCTTGAACGATATAAATGTACAGAGATGTTCTAAAGATATTCCTATTATATAGATTAACTAGGTCGGTTGTGAACATTTGCTGTTCTTATGTCATTGAGTACTTGTGGTGTACATGAGTTCTGTAGAGAGAAATTTAAGTTGGTTTAGTCCTTCATGTCCTTCTTCAGTTCTCGTCAATATGATATATTGTTCAGTGAAATATTGATGTTTAAATAGTTTCATTCCCGGAGTTATTTTACACTCAATTATGAAATCCATTAAAACACCAAACCACCCCGCTTATCATTGAAGTACACTTTGACTTCTAGAAGTATGAGTTCGCGGACTTTACAATTCTTGGTTATTTTGCGTACATAAGCTATCTATGTTTATTTATTTATCTATGAGAATAACTCATGAACATATAAACATTTTATCTCAAATTTATATTCGGAACCTGTCTAGCGACCAACTCAAGGTTTGCTTTTTATAATTATTATTATTTACCATGAGAGCAAACCAGAAAGGGGGTTTGCCCTGTCTAGCGACCAGCTCAAGGTTTGCTTTCTTTATTATTTTATAATTTACCACGAGAGAAACCAGAAAGGAGGTTTGCCCTGTCTAGTGAGCAGCTCAAGGTTTGCTTCCTTTATTATTATTATTTTTTACCATGAGAGAAAACCAGAGAGAAGGTTTGCCCTGTCTAGTGACCAGCTCAAGGTTTGCTTTCTTTATTTTATTATTTACCATGAGAGCAAACTAGAGAGGAGGTTTGCCCCGTCTAGTGACCAGCTCAAGGTTTGCTTTCTTTACTTTTATATTATTTACCATGAGAGCAAACCAGAGAGGAGGTTTGCCCTGTCTAGCGACCAACTCAAGGTTTGCTCTCTTTATTATTTTATTATTTACCGCGAGAGTAAACCAGAAAGGAGGTTTTCCCTGTCTAGCGACCAGCTCAAGGTTTGCTTTCTTTATTATGTTATTATTTACCATTAGAGCAAACCAGAAAGGAGGTTTGCCCTGTCTAGTGACCGGCTCAAGGTTTGCTTTCCTTATTATTTTATTTTTTACCATGTGAGAGCAAACCAGAAAGTAGGTTTTCCCTGTCTAGTGAACAGCCCAAGGTTTGCTTTCTTTATTATTTTATTATTTACCACGAGAGAAACCAGAAAGGATGTTTGCCCTGTCTAGTGAACAGCTCAATGTTTTCTTTCTTTAAAATTATTGTTATTTACCATGAGAGCAAACCAGAGAGGAGGTTTGCCCTGTCTAGTGACCAGCTCAAGGTTTGCTTTCTCTTCCAGTAATAAACAGAACAATGCAGTATTCTCACTCTAGGAAATACATATATATTTCTACTGCTCTTAACTTGGTCAAGATGACAGAAACAAATCTCAAAAACGGTAAGCGTAGAGGGTCAATCCAGACAAAAACATTAATAAATTTTTTTACTCAATCAAGTTTGGATCATCATCAACACAAAATTTTTATTTAATTTTTTAAGAACAGATATTCGTGACATCGTAGAATCCGTCTTCTCCTCGAACGAGAAAGATGTTGAAAACCAAGTAAAAATCCAAATCCAACAAAAAATAAAAAAAACAAGTTTAAATCCTAATACAAAATTATTCCTAGAAACAGAGGCACAACAAGACCTACGTTCTACAGTCCTAATTACAAAAACCACCTGTGAGTAATAAACGTACCACATTTAGCGGGAAATAGCTATTTGAAAATAAAAGCCTTTATTATCTTGCAATTAAATAAGAAAACATGGATTTTTTTGTAACACGTTAAAAACTGATAAAATTAAAATGTGTAGAAATTATTATGAATTCCTGAATAGCTATATGAAGTGCTGTTTCTCCCTCCTGCGGTGGAAGCAATCTATCAATTGATCATTTTTAAAGGAATTATTAACGTAATTTCATTGATCCTCCATTTTTAAAGCGGCATGCCCAATTCCCAATCTAAAACTTTACAAGATATTCAAAACAGAAATATTTTTTATTGATTCTCCGATAAAGGTGTAAAATGTGCCGTTTTGTATCTGAAATCGACTCTGTAAGGGCCACCTGCAACTACGTCGACAGTCCCTTTAAGTTTGGGAAAGAATATCAGGGGGGGGGAGGTTGAGGGCGTTTAACAAGGCAAGGGAAGGAGTCGAACTATCATCTGTTCCAGGATTGATTTCTTCCTTATTTTGAAGGTTGATATCTCCATTCCGTAGAATTATTTCTCTAGCAACCTCTAACAGCTCAGGGTTCAAGGAACTAAACAAACAGTTAAAGGAAAGTGTTTAGTATCTAAAAAGAAGATTGGAGGAACCTTGCAATAAGTTTTTCAAACCCTAATCGGCACTGGATTAAGAAAGACGACATTTAAACTATGATGCAAGAATGTGTTTAAAAAGATGCCATAATGTCCGACCTACTGTTATTTGAGCTATTGAATATTTCGACAACTGTTCATGTTAACAACATATATGCTTCCTATTGTAGGAATTTAGATAAATATTACAATTTTCAATTGAATCACTTTTTTTGCATAAAATGAAACATAAAAAATTCAAATGCATATAAAATAAATATGTTGAAATAAAAAAAAATTAGAAAGCAAAACTTCACCAAAAAATTGTCAATATAAACAAAAGTGAAATATCAATAGTTCCTACGACGTTAGTTCAAGTGACTAACCCCAATATCAAATAACTTGTAGACATGTTTTAAGTACAGATTTTCAACAAAGAACGATGATCAAATATTTACATTGGAGTTCGCTTGCATATGGCGTACAGTTAAGCTTTGTCTGAGTTTTGATTTATAATTTTTAAGTTCATTGAACGTATACTACAATTTAAAAGATTAAATAACAACTTGAATGTCGTCTTCCTTAAGCCAGTGCCAACTTCAGGGTTTGCACTTCTCTTGCAGGGTGAGGACAAAGCAAATTGAAACTATGGGCTATGCAGATATTTTCTTCTGTTTAGGACGATTTTAGTTTAGATAAATACTCTTAAGGATGAAATTTTAAATATGACCGGTTCCAATTTGAACTATCTGTATGATAAAACAAGATATTCATATGTATCTTCCCTACAGCCGACCAAATGGCTTGACCGTTTCCTTACTGAAAGTTTCCTTACTAAACGTTTCCTTACTGAACGTTTCCTTCCTGAACGTTTCCTTACTGAACGTTTCCTTCCTGAACATTTCCTTACTGAACGTTTCCTTGGAGAACGTTTCCTTAGAGAACGTTTCAAAAGTGAAAGTTTCCTTAATGAACGTTTCCCTGCTGAATGTTTCCTCACAGAAAGTTTTCTATACAAAACTGTCCTGCCACCAAACGTTTCCTGCCACCAAACGTGTACTGCCACCAAACGTTTCCTGTCACCAAACGTTTCCTGCCACCAAAAGTTTTTTTTTACAGAACAATTCCTGTGCGTTAGAAACGTATTACGAGGAAACATTCAGTAAGGAAACTTTTTGTAAGGAAACGTTTTATAGAGAAACTTTTGTAAGGAACCGTTTTGTGGCAGGAATCGTTTTGTGAAGGAAACTTTCAGCGAGGAAACGTTCAGTAAGGAAATGTTTTATAAGGAAAGGTTCTATAGGGAAACGTTTTGTTATTGCTTCCAATTTAAGTTAATGTTAAAGCTACTGGTAAAAATTGTACCAGTAAAACAAAATCTATTACACAAATATCTTGGCTTTAAGGTCTTCTTCGCATTCCAACATTTTATGATTTCCACTGTACAGTGTACTACTAGTCATCTTCCTACCTGGCTATGAGGTGGAGAGGGGTATTTGTCTCCGCCTGAGTGGATAGGTTGACTTGCGCGCCATTTTTTAAGAGAAAAATACACGCGGCAGGATCATTACGCACTGCGCACATACATTTATCATTATTAATATTAATTGATTGCTAATTCTTACAAATATACAGATTACTCCCAAAAACGTACATTTACTCAATATTGAAGAAAGCTTTTCTAAAACATTTGCCCAAAAATATCCTGATATTTTTGCATCATATTTTCCGAAAAATAATATTTCCTCTCATTTAAGAGGTGGATGTTTTTTCTGATTAAAAAGACAAACCATTAATTCAGTAAAAATAATATTCCTGGTCGACTGATTTAATAAAAAAGGAATGTTATTACAATGAAATCAAAATTCAAAAGTATTTTTTTCAATTCATACATTTCTTTTGCATTTGGTAGATTAATTCGATGAGAAAAATCTGAATAACTTTTGGATCTTAAAAAGATTGGTATGCTGTTTAAGTATTAATCCTTGTATTTTGAAGTATTAATACATAAATAAAGGTGAGTTTTTTTAAATGTTTTTGGGGTACAATTACAAATACTCAAAATAAACTTAAAAAGTAAAAAGTAATAATAAAAAATTATTATGTTCCTATACCTATTGCTAAATGGAGAACACTGAGGCCGCCCTTATTCATTTGGTTAACATTCACCTAAAAAAAGCATTTTTTTTACATTGATATTTAAAAAAGTTGACAATCCTCAATACATTAATCTTTCTTCTAGTAAAACTATTATATTTTTATTGGAAAAAAAAGCTTACCTGCCCGTGTAATTTAAAATAAAATCGAAAAAAATAATTATTTAAAAAAAATAGATTTTTTTAGCCCATGTCACCCCCAGGTTACCCACGAGTTTCCTCAAAAAATGTTCAGCCAATTCGGTCCAGCCGTTAGGCCAGCTGTAGCTAGCATATACATACAAATATACATGTATATAGTATACTAGCTGAATCGCTCGGCGTTGCTCGTGGAAAAACGAATTTATGAAATTAAAAAAAAAAAATTTGAAAGAATTTTTTTTAGATATTTGTAATGTATAGCCTATAATACCCCCAGGTCACCCATTGGTTCCCTGAACAAATTTCAGCCCATTTGGTCCAGCCGTTAGGTCAGCTGTAGCTAAATTACATATACACAAACATATATGAGCTAAGGGCTTTCTTATATAGCTCAAAAAATTGATTATTCAAAATAGTGTTTTAATCTTTATACCTTGTCGTGAATATAAAATTTTTGGATACAAACATAAAGGATTTAAACTTAAAATCCTAAATAAAACTAATTATAAAAAATATGTAATTAAAAAATAAAACTATTAATAATGTTAAATGTTATAAATGCAAAAACAATTGAACAGATTTATCGAACAGAATTATAAAACACATTTTATTTTAGATGAAAGGGACAGTACGCTTCTGTGTAACAAAAAGGAAGAAGGACTTTTTCTATCTGAAAACGTGTTAAATACTGACAATTTTTTTCATGATCACTGCAGCACAAATCCGCATGGCGCTTTAAAAGGGCAACCACAGTTTAAAGTTATTAATTTTCATTGAGGAAAATTAGGATAAATCATTCTTCCTTGGGGTGATCGCTTAAAATAACGTCTACACTCTACTCGTTACTTTGAGCATATTTGTTTTATTTCCTCAAAGCATTTTAGCTGAGTAACTTTATGAAAAATTATTTTAACCTGATGCTCAACCAGACTCTTGGCTATACCGTACTGCGCTGTGGCTAGAGCAAGGTCAAGAGGAAGACGACCTCTGTCGTCAGTTTCATTCATTCTGAACCAAAATAACAATTGTTAACAGCTGAATGATCACAAAATGTCGCAAGAAATTTGAAATTTGAGGCTGATTTTTAAGTTTTAACCATTGCAAATAACAAAATTCTAAATGATATTTCTTTCTACTAAGCATCGTCATTCACTATTCAAAATCAAATATTTTTTACAAAGAAAATCTCGAAATTATCGCTCAATTTCCATGTTTATTGGGACATCTGTAGCTTTTATTTGTATTATTTAACCTGAACCAAAAAAAAAAACTTTTGTGGTACTCATTTTTATTGAATATAATAATAATAATAATAATAATAATAATAATAATAAGATATTTAACCTACCGAATAGAAAGCTCCGAGTTAAACTCAATGAGGTAAAGGAAGACGACATCTTCCCTCTTCAGTTCTAAAATAATATTGTCTAATCTATGAGGGGAAAAAAGTACAGTGGTAGGCGATTATATCAATACCATGAAGACGAGTTTTTATTAAGTTTGAGTGTTGACAAGTTTACAAGTAATCAAAGAAACTTTTTTAATTTGACACCTTCTCTAAACTTCTATGTTTATGCGTATCCATTAGAATTAACAGTTTAACAGAAATCAAAATCGAAATCAAAAGTCGTCAACATTGTATTGATGTAATAGCCTACCACTATATTATTTTCTATCAAAACCTATAATATCGTGGAGTTTTATTATCAGATTAAAAGGGAACAAAATTAAATTTCAAAAATATTAAGAGCTATAAAATAAAATTAATATTTTTTTTCGTAGCAATTGGTTCGATTAAAGTTTAATATGGTTCATGCGCAAAAAGATTTTCGTTAATTTGAGGGAAGTTGGACAAGTGTTAAACATTTCCTTAAAGTATGCTATAAACATGTGCTTTTATGTTAATTATCAACAAAACAACCTTTAAAAAGAAAAAATATTGCTTTAAAATTGGAAATTATTAGCTCAATGATGTGCAAAATTTGTATTATTCTTCTGATGGCCATCCATAGCTTAATAGAGAAACAGAAAATACTTTTTCAGGTTTAAATTAAACAGTGTTAATAACACAATATAGTCTCACTATACTAATAAATTTTTTTGTTTTGGCATGTAACAAGATAAATTTTGAATTTGTGCATTACATGTATCTGATGTTGCATAATATTTTACTTTAGTGGTGCTTTGCTGATTAGAAAGTTACCTATAGCAGAGTGTAGAGGGAAGGATGCACGTTTTTTTAGCATGGTATAAACCAACTCAGGAGAGAGCTCAATAAAATCCTTAAACAAATATCACCTTGCAACAATTTTTTTAGTAAAGGAACTGGTTAAGTTATTTTAACACCCCCAATGCAGTATACAAGTGTAGTACGCGACACACGTACACAAAAAACTTGCCATGGTTCACAATGACACAGAAAGTGCATGTTCAAACCCCTTTATGTTTCAACCCCAATTTCCTTTGTGATCAGAAATGGAATTATATGGACTCAAAAAAACTCAAAAAAGGGTATAAATGTGAATTTGGATTTTCATCTTTTTAAATGGAGTGTCAGTGGCCACTTGATATTACGTCTACAGTTCCTTTCACGTGGAATTATTGTATAATATTGGATATATAAGATAATGAAAAATTATGAAGATATGATAAACAAGGTTTTAGAGTAAAAGAAAAACGTTAAAGAGACCCTTATGGACACCAAGAACAAAACAAAAAAATTTTAAAGTTTCTTTTAACAACCCTTTATTACTACTTGGTTCACTAATTTTATTTAATTGGTTTAGAAGTAAAAAACAAACAAATTAAGTAAAAAAAAGATTGGTCCCTAGTTGGGTTTCAGTTTAGTCAGAATTGAATGTTTTTATCTAATGTTTTAAAAATAGAAATTAAGATAAAGATTTGGAAACTTTAACATGGATGTGGGATGAATACTTGTTGGGCATATTTTCAAATTCATACCAATTACAAATAAGAAAATTATTACAAATCTAAGATGACTTTCATTCCGCTTTCACTTTTTTTGACCAAATTCACCTAGTGTTACCTTATATGTAAACTTATCCCAGTTTGCTGAGATAAGTTGGGTGCAGTGATCCTTTAGTCTCTCAGCATTTATCTAGAAAAATCTAGTTTTTTATGTTCATAAAAAAATATTGAATTATACAGGGTGTCCCAAAAAACATGAGAATTAAATGACGACTTTTTTATTGTCATTGTTCCAAGCGGGATTATTTCGTTAATAAAATTTTGTAATATCTCAGTTAAAACATTAAACACCGAAAACTTCTTGTCTACGGATTTTCAAAATATACCATAATTGTTGTTTAGGCTACGGACGAGAATTGTCTGGTTAGGTTAAACAAATTGAAGACGACATCTGGGCTAGTCTCCGCTCCTTTCCTTGTACTTTGACCACTGTACACAGCTGGATGTTACACGTGTACTGCACACTTACTCTCCTCTCTCTCTCTCTACCTTACTGCTCTCTCTACTACCTCCCCTCATTCCTTCCTCGACCTCTGAACCCGACTCTACTAACGACCTACGTTAAACAAGGATAGTAACTTTCATTATTTTGGGTTTAGTTATTTATTTATTTATTTTCACAGCTTCAGTTATTAATTTTTTCAATCCTTTACCAATTTACTTATTTCCGCAAATACAGTTATTATTTCAATTTTTTACCGAGTTATTTATTTATTTTCGCTATAATTATATATTATAGTTTCACTGGTTATATGTAACTAGCCGCTTTAGTATTTAATCTTTTCTTTCAACTGAACCTTGACCGGCTATAATCAACTTGTAACAGCAGGATATTTTATTTCTCTGTTTATTCTTTTAATTGTTCATTAGTCTAACCTATAAATATGAATTGTATATTATATTTCCTCTTTAGGATTAGGCTAATTATTTATTTATTTAGGTTTACTTATTATATTTCCTCTTTAGAATTCCATTTTCAGCTTTATTTCAAACAAAGTTTAAGATGTTTCTGGTTTCATCTATTTCAGCCTAAACGATAATTTTAATATTTTTCTTATGTAACTCAATTTTTCAGTCAAGGGTAATCTTTTACTCATAGTTTACTCAAATCTAAACCTACATTAATCTTCTGCTTATTACCTTACTCAATTCCAGTTTTATGTTTGCTTAGTTCCCTTTTAACTGCAGCCTTTCTCAGAAATTCTCAAACTTATTTTCTAACTGCAGCCTTTCTCAGAAATTCTCAAACTTATTTTCAAACTCTCCCTATTTTTAGTTATGCCGCCGGCTCGCACAGTTATCCGCAGCGCTGCAGGGTTTTCGGATCCCTCAGACTTATCTCTATCAGTTCTACGGGACCTTTCAGTCAACTCAATCAGTGATTTTGACACTGTTCTCTTAACCGAAGTCAACTGGAACAAAAAGACTCTCGGTTGCCTGTCCGTCTCCCTTTTAGCAGACAACCTGAGAGTGGAGGAGGCCACATTCCACCTGCTAGGCAGCCTCTGGGACCGCAAGTCATTCCACGCAGCCTCTATGTGGACCACAATTAACCCAACTCAGCTGACTATTTCTCTCCCGGATCTTTCCGCGTTCTCATTTCCCCCGGGTTCCCTCTGTTCCAACTACCTCTCTTCCGAAGATTTGGAGTTCGAGTTCTCTCAAGGCGGTCAACTGGTTCCCCCTAATCTATACCAGGCGACCAACCTGTCCTCCTTCTGCCTCAGATCTTTTGTACATCCAACTTCAGACTGCTACGCCAAGGTCCAATTCCTCATCTTCCCGTTCCCTCTTTCCGTTCTAGCCAAAAATCCTCTCTACCTAGATGAGAACTTTCCGGGACTTAAACTAGCTGATTACGAATTCCCACTAGCTCCTGCAGCTCTGTTATCTCCCATCAACGACTCCTGGGGGTTCCCTCTCGCCCCTGCAGTCTTTCCTGGTGCTGATTGGAACGACAGTGCTAGTGTGCCGTCTGGTATCCGACTACGTATAGCCCTGTCTCAACTTCTCAGGTCTCCAATTCTTCCTGAGGTTAAAGCCAACATTTCAGGCCTCAAGCAACGTTATGCGCAAATACTGGAGAAAGGCTCCAGAACCTTCAGGACTAAGTTTCCTCCTATGATCTGGCCTCCAGCTACAACTATTCCTGCTACAGATCTACCTGCTCAAGGTTGGTAATAATGCTAGCCTAATGTTTTTTCTCCTCTTTTAACTTTGATAGTTATTTGCTATATTTACTCTAATTAGGTCCAGACTAGTTTCTTAATTACTTTTTACAATTATGCTTAATTAATTAGATTTATATGTCTTCTTAACTCTTAGATTCTTAGATTATCTCTGTATCAGATTTAGTTTCACCCAGATGAAATCAGATTATTTTCCCCCTGGTGGATTTTTCTCCTCCCCCTGGTGGAGTTACTCCGGCAGTCAAATTTTTATCTGTTATTTTAATTTTTATTGACAAATTCTTAGCTCACTGACTGAATATTTATGAGTTAGATTTCGCTGTCTGAATATTAATTTCCCCTAGGTGGAATTAGATTTCTCTATCTGAATATTAATTTCCCCCTGGTGGAATGTCTCCTGTTGGTATTAAATTATCGATGTCTATTTATTAGATTACCGCTGCCTGAATATTTATTTCCCCCTGGTGGAATTTGTTCCTCCCCCTGGTGGAGTTAGATTACCTCGGTCTGAATATTTATTTCCCCCTGGTGGAATTTGTTCCTCCCCCTGGTGGGGTTAGATTACCTCTGTCTGAATATTTATTTCCCCCTAGTTGAATTTCCCCCCCCCCCTTGTGGAGTCAGATTGTCATTTCAATTGACAACTTCATTTATAATTAAATTACTTAGTTCACTGTCTGAATATTTATTTTCCCTTGGAAAATTTCTTCTCCCCCTGGTGGTGTTACTCCGGCAGTCAGATTTCTATTTGTTATTATAATTTTACTGACAATTTCTTAGTTCACTAACTGAATAATTATTTCTTCTCCTCCTGGTGGACCTTACGCATTTAGGTTTAACATTGCAAATCACCCTGTGATCACTTAAATAACTATCTTACCTATTTGCTTGACTTTTTGTAGTTTTTATAGTTTTCAAACCTCTACCTAACCTATCTTTTATTTTATCTCTGGTAGTTTATTCATTAAAATCAAACTAATATTTCAGTCATTGGTTCACCAAGGGTCATTCCATGCGCTGTTTCTGGTTCAACCAAGTACGGTCCTCAGGGCCTGTTTTCCCCCGGATCATTTCACCAGCTCTCCACGGACCCAGAGCTCAGTCTTCTTCTATGCAATCTAGCAAATCATTCCTTAACTAAAAGTACTTGGAGTACTTACAAGACCTCATACAAAATGCTCCTACAGTGCTTTAATAATGATGTTTCCTTTCCCTTAAGTCAAATGTCCATCATCACATATATTGGCTGGCTAGCGAGTAGGGGTCTTGCCATCTCTACTATCAACTCATACCTTGCCGGTCTTAGACAAGTACATCTTGTCCTGGGACACAATGTTCCACATCTCAGATCCGATATTGTAACTCAAATCCTTGTTGGGAAAAAGAATTTTGACTCTATTGCTCCATCTTCTAAACCTGTCAGAATGCCTATAACCCCTACTTTGCTGAGAATCCTCAAAAACGCCATTAATAAAGACCACCTTCCTTACTTCGACAAGAGATTATTCTGGTTCCTTTGTGTAGTGGCCTTTCACGGTTCCTTTAGAATGGGTGAATTACTAACCCGTCATCCAAATCACTTTGATCCAAACTTCTCACTGCTCGGCCAACACATTGTTTCCAGTCCAAATATTATTAATAAAGAACCATCATCTTTTTTGGAGATCACTCTCACCTCGTCCAAGATCAGTCCCACTACAGCCACAGTAATTGATATTTACCCTACTGGCAGTGATATTTGTCCCATCAGAGCACACAACAAAGTTATAAGTCTGCAGAAACTGCAACATGACTTACCAGCCTTTAGGCTACTTTCTGGCAAAAATATTACTCCGGCGCTATTCAACAAAAAACTCAAATACTGGTTGACAGGTTTCATCGATTTCTCTGTATGCTCCGTGTCCGGACACTCTTTCAGAGCAGGAATCCCAACTATCCTAGCTTCCATGGGCTATGCTAGCTCGGATATCAAATCTGTAGGCAGGTGGTCTAGCAGAGCCTTCCTTCTGTATACAAAGCTCCCTAGAACCAAACGTATTGCCATGGCACAAGCCCTCGGGAACCTCAATATTTGATTATGTAATCTGCCTAGCTATTCTTGTGTCAATTATTTTTAAATTTTAACACATAGCAGTTACTTGTAACAATATACACTTCTCGTTCTTGTGTCAATTATTTTTAAATTTTAACACATATCAGTTACTTGTAACTGATATACACTTCACATGATTTTAAATTTCAGCTAGCCAAGTTTATTTTCTTTACCGTCATTCAATTAGCCAACTAAGACTTTTATTAAAGGATTATGTGTGCCAAAATTGATCTTTATAAATTTAATATTAAACACTGTTATTTTTTCACATTTCTATGTATGTAAAATTTGTACAACTTGGATACCTATATTCATATTTATCTATTCTAATTTATTCATAATTGACATTGACTTATAATGATTTCAGGAGCTTCTAACGCTAATGATATGGACAGTCATGACAGCCAAAATGATCAAACCTCTGAGCACAGTTCTGATACGCAATACGTACCATCCGAGCACAGTTCTGCGAGGTCTATACGCAGATCTATCGCTCCCAGAACGAATGTGGAACCCACAGATCAGTTCTCTGAACACAACCCTGACCAACACAGATCGGATGTCGAGCTGGATGAGCAGCTGTCTGATGTTCAGTCTAACACCAGTCTACTGCGTTCCAACCTCATTTCAGAAATAGGTAACAGGTTTTGTATTTACGCATTATTTTTCTTAACTACCTCATAATTTAAAATTGGTTCCATAATTTCATAATTCCTGCATAATTTATAACTTGCACCACTGTGATCTCACTACACCAAAGTTTCTATCAGATTTATACAATAACTCTCATAATTTGACAATCAGTTTGTTTTTAACACTGCTAAATATTTAAATATTTATCCATAGAACTATGATTCTAATAATCTAATCTGAGCTCTGTTTAGGCAGATTTGTCAGACTGCCATCTAGCAACCAAGATGCTACTACTACCCGCAAAACTAGCCATACAAAACGGTTAGTTTCATTTTCTCAGCTTTATAAATACTATTTGATTTTATCCTCCAATAGTCTAATTTTTGCTCTGTTACAGCACTGCTATTTTATCCTCCATAACCCGGAGCTATTTATAAAGCCTACAAACCAATTTAAAAAGTCTAATTTTTGCTATGTTACAGCACTGCTGGCAAACGTGGACGACACACAAGTAATTCATCAAAACCTAGCAAGTCTAAGAAGAAGTCCAAAGCTAGCAGAGTGGTACGTCATGTTTCTACGTCCGATGATTCATCTTCCGACAAATCCTCTGATTCCTCGGACTCCGACGATGATGACGAGGACCCTGGCAGCAACTGGAATATCCTATACACCATCTGGCCGGTAGAGAAGCGTCCCTTGGCCCTCCAGAACAAGGCAAAGTTCAACGAGATGACCCTGGATCAACTTGTACAGATTGCCAGATTCGACCGAGATAATGCAAAAGCAGTGGAGTCAGACCTATCCGCTTCCTACACCAGAGATAAGAAACCTCTGACGACCAAGTACCCGAAAGCTAAAGATGACGGGTTTAAGAAACTGCACCCAGCTAGGTTTGAAAGATTCCCGCTATCTGACATTAAAGACTGGTGGAAAAAAGTTCCTCGTGTTAGAAGCCACCAATACAAGAACCTACCCCTGCAATACAGTGGAACCCACAACAAAGTGACTCTACGAACAATTCAACAGATGCATGACCGAACCAAAGTTCTCTCTTTCAAGCATTTTCACTCCGGTAACATCAATGTTGGATCGAAACCAATTCAGAAAATCGAGAGACGTGATGACGCCGGCATCAGCTCCTCCTTAGATTTCAATTGGGAAGCTGCCTCCAACCTGTCACAGGTGTCGGACGCATTGCTCAATTACTGCACCATCCTCCTCCACCTCTGGACACTGGACCAAACTGGTTTGATCATACTCAGATTAGTTAACAAGTATAACTATTTCCCGATGGCCAACTCACTCACAGAACGCGTTAACCTAGTCTCTACGTTTTTTAACACTGTGCTCAGAGAGAATGCAGCCAGGGCTGGTAGTAAGGCCGTCCCCATGGCTCAACAAGAGGAAACTCTTAAAAACATCTTAACCTCTTCCGGTTACAGCAGTACTGTCCCTACAGGACGTAACCACCGACAGGAATTTGACAAATTTAAACCTGTCCCAAGCCGTCTTAATCCTCCTGCAATCCAGCACCAGAACCAGAACAAGCCAAAAGTCCTAATGATCGGTTCCAACCCAGTCTGTTTCAACTTCAACAGCGGACACTGCAGAAACACAGGTTCAACTAATGGATGCAAAGACCAGCGGGGAAGAGAGTTCGCGCACCTCTGCAATAAATGGCTAGATGCAAAACAGGCCTACTGTCTTGGCCGTCACTCCAGAGCTACTTACAGACACTGAACTCTTAAATATGTTTTCATCTATGCTTGTTTAATTTACTTAATTTCCTTCATTTAGATTAATCTTTATCAGCTCATTCCTTGATTATAATGTGGCCCAAATATTAATTTACATAATAATTTCCATTATTTTGTTGTTAAATATTTTGTCTTATTTTTTGACACTGGATATTTATTTTTTTGTCATAACGTAGAACTACTTCTTAATATCCCAGTTATTCAATGAGTTTTATGTTCTGTTTTCTTTTTAAATTTTTTCCTTTGTTTGAAATAGGTCTTTTCCATTACATAATTAAACCTCTCAGTTTCTATGTTGATACCATAATTTTTCACTAATCTGTTAAAATAAATATAGTTCTTTCTATAATCTGTTAATTAAATTCATGAGTTCGAAATGTTATGATGTGATTATACTGAGCAATTAATTGGTCTTACTAAATACATAATGTAAGATGAAGATAGATCTATCAAGATAGCACTTTAGTTATAAATGAGAAGGGGAAAATATGTTAATTCTTGTAGTCAATAATAATAATTAAATGGCTTCTGAGTGTCGCTGTATGATAGTTAACATCTCGTCTTTTTTATCTTTGACATCTAAGTCCTTATTCTGCAAATACCTATCATTCACACCCTTTATATACTTATTTAGGTATTAATAATAATCCAATGTTTTCCGTGTGTAACTGTATATCACATAATATATAGACTATCTACATTTATATAGGATATATGTCCTTATACCAAATCTTGATTCAAACATCACATAATGTTTATGAATGATGTCGACAATCCAGTGTAAAATCTTAAAAATAATTAATCTACACAGAATGTTTGTGAATGATGTCGATAATCCAATATAAATCTATAAGATGATAGTTAACCCAGTGTTTTCTGAGTGTCGCTATATGAGGATAAATGTTTCCTCTTAATCTCAAAATTAGAATCCTTACTTTCATTGGTTCAGTCAAATACCATTCTTAGACATTATAATACACGATATACGCGCATTTAAATCTTAATAATAAACCAATGTTTCCGAGTATCGTTCTAAATACATAATATGACACTATCTAAATTTATAAATGGCTAAATTCCTCATAACTAATCTATGTTTATTGATGCATAATATCTGCGCCCTCCAGGTTCATAATTAAAATGTGAAATTCACAAGTTTACATGCACACAATTAAACAATTATTAACGCAAATTATGCACTATTCGTGTAATATAACCTTTAATTCTCTTTACTGCGACGACGACATTTATATTTCTTATAACATCGACGACATTTATATACATAAACCGATGACGACAACACGAAATGCCGCGTCCACAACATTTGCGCACCAGTTATTTTGTTTAATTTTTGTAAAAAGTTTAGAATATATTCCAACTTAACGAATATTATAAAATATTCTATTTATTCAACTATTTTTTCTTTAATACATTTCTTATATAACCCAATTTTTTATCTTTCTAGCATTATTACCCTTTTCAGAATTCAGTCTACATACTATTTCTTTCTACCTTAACCTAATCCAAACCCTCAAACGGGAAATGGCATTACCTGTTCCAGAACTGCCTCCTGTGAAGACATTTAAACCTAAATACAATTTGCCTGTATTAAAATCCTACAAAATCAAGCCAGACCAATCTTACTGGGAGAACTTTCCTACCAATTACCAACCCCTATGCGTCTCACTAGTGGATCCCATTAAACTTAAGGCACTGGCACTAGAAACAGGTTTTCAGGACAACTCAACACTGGATAAAATTTGCAAAGACCTAACTAACGGTGCAGACATTGGTTGCAAAGGCTCATCCAGAACACCGTCATTCTCTACCAATGCCCCCAGTGCATACGAATATGCACCACATGTTTCGGACGCCATAGCCGACTGGCTAAAAAAAAGGATTTGCCTATGGCCCTGTTCCTCTCGAAGAAATCCCAGCTACTGCTAAAGTAAATGGCATAATGACCAAACCAAAACCTAACGGTTCAGTCAGAATCATCCTCAACCTTAGTTCACCATTAGGCAATTGTGTAAACGAAGGTATTGATAAAGATGAGTTTCCCACCATAATGTCATCTACTACAAAATGGCTCAGAGCCTTGCACCTTGCCGGTCGCAGAGCAAAAATGTGCAAGATTGACTGGGCCGACGCCTACAAGCATGTGGCCGTCTGTACCAAGGACACTGACCTACAGTGGTTCTCTTGGCTCGGGTTTGGTTTCAAAGAACTGTGCCTAATCTTCGGATGTGTCAGTAGCGTGGGAATTTTTGATAGGCTAGCCAAAGTTGTTGTGCACATAGCAGCAACAAAATCAAATTTCCCAATTAACAGAATATGCCAACATCTGGATGATTGCTGCGCCGCAGCCCCAGCTGATTCACACGCTTTGGAACTTTTTGACAACACTTTCTCTGATATCGCGAATCAACTTGGCGTCAAGCTTGCGCCTCGCGAGGATCCGGAAAAGTCTTTTGGTCCCAGCACCCATGGCCTTGTCCTGGGTATATTCTACGACACAGTCCAATGGACTTGGGCACTTAACCACGAAAAACTGGCCAGGATTCTCAACGACATTAACAAGTTCCTAACTTCTGAATTCATGCCACAATCAGCAATCTGGAGCATAGTGGGAAAAATAATACATATCCAACCCCTCATCCCAAATGGTAAATTCAACATGCATCATCTATTAGAGCTAAATTGCCATTCTATGGACAAAACCACTCAGGTCAAATTGACCAATGGTTTCAAAAAACAAATATACTTTTGGTTTACAATGATCAAATTATGCTCTGGCAGAGGAAAACTCACAAACCCAGACAAATCCTTACCACCATGGGCCATCGAAGTTTACACTGACGCTGCTGGTGGCTCCATGAATACGATTGGCCTTGGTGTGGGTGCTATCACTGACTCCTGGTGGTCCTATGTCCCATGGTCTAGAGCCATAAACATCAACAAAACTAAAATAAATGGTAGATACATTGGTAGATGCATGTCGGCTCTGGAACTAATCGGACCACTATTGGCCCTATCTGCTGGGTTTACTTGGGCCAAAAACAGCCCTATCAAGTTCTGGGTAGACAATGCTGCGTCCGTCTTCATTTACAAAAAAGGATATAGCCGCTCTTGCCCTCTGTCCACTTGCATTGGTATTGCCATCTCCAATGTGGCTGCTGGTCTCAGAGCATCAGTTGAAATAACAAAGATACTCAGATGCTCTACACCCTTAGCCTCCATGGCCAATGCCTTATCAAAAGCTAATTTCCAAAAATTCTGGGCTATCAACAATGACATACAGCTCAACTTACCTTTAAACCAAGCTTGGGTTCCCCCGTCACTACTACTCTGGATCAACAACCCAACCCCTGATGACCTACTAGGGGATAGAATCCTCGCAGATATCTCTAAACAATCCTTGGTCCTAGGACTAAACTGTTAGGGTAAGTAGGTTGCTGCGCGTCTGGACTCAGCTATGCTGTGATGCGGTTTAGAGGTTTACTTCTCCTACTCTACTGGATCTCCGCTCATTTGTCCTTATTATTTTTTACAGCTTTGATATTATCTTACCTCTATTCCGTATCTACTACCTACTTATCTCACTTTTCAGGATATCATGCAACCCTCTCTGGTGGTGTCCCTAACCCTAACTTAGACCTAGGGTTACGGTCCACCTCCCTACTTTCCTTACTTCCTATCTACTTACTTCTACCTATTGACGGAGACTTTCCCAGGTAAGCGTGTTCAACATTAACGGAGGAAATTTGTCCAAATTCTAGCTTATTAAAAATCAAAATAACGGTTCGCATGGTCAATTTTAAAGATACAAAGAAGGTAGACCACATTTTGAAAAGCTCATTAGGCTTTCATTTTTTTTTGGTTCGCTTTATGTCCAATTATAATAAATCAAATACAATATTTAAGTCGTCTCTCAATCCCTATGTTTATTGGGACACCCTGTATGTACATTGTTTTCCTACTTAACACTACAAATTTTAAAAAGTTTAAGAAATATAAATTATTTAACGACTGTATTCTTTTACTAGTCCTATAATATATTTCTAGTTCCAAGTTTCTTTATCAAGATGTGTTATTCCTAACCAAATGTTTAATTGACAAACAATAGAACCTTGCAAACCAAAACATTCTTATTTTCTTTAACTCACCCTGTCTGCTGTTGCAAAGAAACTAATGCAGTTGGATACGCTTACTAGAAATTGTTAATTAATGATAAAAAAACGCGAAACATATTTTGAGTCAATTAAACTTTATATTTTCTGATTTTATGATCTTTAAATGAGAAATAAATCAGCAAAAAAGTTGAACAATTAGCTAATTAAATAACTTAAAAATTAGAAGACGACAAAATTAAGTTATGATTTGAATAGTCCCAAGAACAAGAAAAACAGCAGCTGTAAAACAAAGTACATTATTACAGCATAATATAAAAATATTCTTCCTTCAAAACAGATTTAGTCTAGAAAGTATTTTTAATTAAATATTCAGTTTTATTTATCAATATTCCTGAGGAAACAAGATTTTGTTCACAACTGTCTACCAGAGCTCTTAACTTAAACTAATCCAAACCAAATATTCATTTTGAGATAATCCAAACCAAATATTCATATTGAGATAAAACAAACCAAATATCCATATTGAGATAATCCAAACCAAATATTCGTATTGAGATAATCCAAACCAAATATTCATATTGAGGTAATCCAATCCAAATATTCACAATGAGTTAATCCAAACCAAATATTCATATTGAGATATTCCAACCCAAATATTCATATTGAGACAATCCAAACCAAATATTCATATTGAGATAATCCAATCCAAATATTAATATTGAGATAATCCAAACCAAATATTCATATTGAGATAATCCAAACCAAATATTAATATTGAGATAATCCATACCAAATATTCATATTGAGATAATCCAAACCAAATATTCGTATTGAGATAATCCAAACCAAATATTCATATCAGATAAATTAAATATTTGTCTACCAGTTTATTTTTCTATCATTCATTGACCCATCTATTACCTTTATATTTATTTATCTGGTATTTCTGTATGAATATTTAATTACACGTCTCTTTTTTATCAATTTATTTATTTGAATAGTTATAGATATTATTTAATTTATCTATTTATGTATTTTTTTATTTTTTTATTACTTTATTTAGTTTAATTGGTTTCCCTGACTTCCAACCGCCATTAAGGTAAGCGTAAACTGGTCTCCACCACTGAAATCAAAACCTTAGGAGATAGTGTTCATTTTCAGTTTTAACTGTACTGCCATTTTGCTGGTAAATGTATTGCAAATCTTAGAATAAGATTTAGAAACTAATTTGGGGGGGGGGGCTGTGACCCTTCAAAAAAAAATATTAGAAATTTTCTTTTTCTTTTTCTATAACATATCATTATTCTCAATTGGTTCTTGGGTCCCATAGTTCCCTGAGTGTGATTTGATCAGTATATATCCAACGTAACAGCGCCAAGCTAACATCTTCACCTAGTAAAAATATCGATAAATGATAGTGTTAGAGTCGGCACACTCTAAAAAGCTCACTGTATGTAAATGAAACATAGAGTTGTATTTTCTTTATTCACACTCATTCTATCCACATATTCAGCTTCAGGAACGTACTAATATAAATCACAAGTTGATAAAAGAACTAGAAACAATAAGAATAAAAAGATTAAAACAGTAAATACTAAATAACCATTTGTTGTTAACATAAATAGACTCAATAGTTATTTTGTTAAATCATAATCAATAATTTATCAACTCTTAGACCTAATAGTTCAGATAACACGGGTTACTACAAAGCGAGCCTTGCCAGGACTAAGGCTTGAAACAACTCAAATAAATCTTTACTTAAAAAGGAATACTATATGCGTAGGGAAAAAAATCTCTACATAAACATAATTCTTCTTGTACCATGGATACATTCTATGGTATTTTGGAAGAATTTTTACCCCTGGTTGGCAGGTATATATCTGGAACCTTGTCTAGTCCAACCAAGAATGCAATACAGGTTGCTTCAAAAATATTAAGATCTCTTCTGCATATGCACGGTCCAAACAGATAGAAATACAGAACAATATATTAAGAGTTATAAATAGTTGATAAAAATACCGGATAATATATTAACAGCTATAAATAATTAACAGAAATACAAAAATAGATGTTTACAATATGTTAATAGTTTATAGCAATACAGAATAATATATGAACAGCATATTAATAAATGACAGCAATACAGAATAATATATTAGCAATTATAAATAGTTGATAGCAATACAGAACAATATATTAACAGCTATAAATAATTAATAGAAATACAAAAATAGATGTTTACAATATGTTAATAGTTTATAGCAATACAGAATAATATATGAACAGCATATTAATAGTTGACAGCAATACAGAACAATAATAAATAAATAAATAGCTGATAGCATGATTTATAAACATGAAACAGTTATAAAAAATTGATAGCAATACAGAAGAAAATATTAACGACTCAAAAAAATAGTTAACGGCATAAAAGAAATTTAAGTTAAAAATATTTAAATTGTTAGTACAATATAAAAAGTTTATAGCAAAATTGAAATAAATGTTAACAATAGATCCTAGCAATATAGAAATAGATGCTATACAGTATTGTTAACAATACAGAAATAATAAATATAAAAAAGATGTTTACATAAAGAAACAGATGTTATTAATACAGAAATAAAAGTTAACAATAACAATTGTTACAGCAATATTAAAATGTTAGCAATACAACTTAACTTAACTTACCCAGATTAACCCAGTTTAAGGATTCAACCTCAGACAAGGAACTAACTCCCCAGCAGTCACTTCTACAACTAAATCATAAGATAACTTAATTCAACTACACAGCAGTAATTTCTACAACTAAATTATAAAATAACTTAAATTGACTACCCAGCAGTCAATTCTACAACTAAATTATAAAATAACTTAATTCAACTGCCCAGCAGTCACTTCTACAACTAAATTATAGAATAACTTAATTCAACTACCCAGCAGTCAATTCTACCATTAAATTATAAAATAACTTAATTCAACTACCCAGCAGTCAGTTCTACAACTAAATTATAATATAACTTAATTCAACTACCCAGCAGTCACTTCAATAAAATAACTTAATTCAACTACTCAGCAGTCACTTCTACCACTAAATTATAAAATAGCCCCCCCCCCCCACACAGTAACATTTAAGATACACCAGAAAGTCCAGAAACATGTAATAAAAAAATATTGTTTTAGGTAATTTTTTGAAATGTTTGTATAGTAAAAAGAAGTAAACTTGAATTTAATTTTTTTTAAGAAATATCCAAATTTTTTAGAAAATCCAGAATTCAAAAAACTTCACAATACAGTGCTTTAATAAATAGCTTATTTAACATTTTAGCACAATAATTAAATTTATAGCACTGCTATAACAAAATTTACAATGAAATGAGCATAAAAGTTCACAATAGTTTTATAAAATATTCAGCCTGTGTTCTTTATTATTATTATTAACATTCAACCTACAGTCAAATTATCCTGTCCTGCAGGCTATGTTATGTTGAGCTCCAGGGTTGTGTTTAAATTTTTCTTTGACAACAAAATACACAGAACAGCCTAAATTTATCTGGCAAGCATTGCCTGACGATCATCCTTAAAGCAAAACAATCTAATACAGTTCATTTTGTGGAGGATTTAAGACATTACCACTCTTTTTGAAACTTTAAATCCGCATAAATATGTTCGTCAAACTTACTGTGACCCGACTATTAAATAATAAATCTATAAAAAAAATTACCTGAGGACAAATTTGTGAGCATGGATATTAGAGGAGGGAGTAATTATTGTCAAATCACTATACAGAGGCTAAACAATTAAATAAGGTTTGCCAAAAATAATTAAATTTAGAAATTTTGGTGGATTTTGAAATTTGGTTGTAATTCTTTCGCCAGAATTAAATTACCGTCTTCATAATTTATTAGAAACTGGCTGAAGCGCCCAGAGTTGCCTGTAGAATTTTAAAACACTAAAGAATTTTTTTTATTTAGGGGTATTCTCATGGGTTTTCTTAAAAATGTCAGCCCATTTGGTCCAGCCGTTTAGCCAGTATATATATAAATATGAGCAAAGAGCTGTATTTAATAGGTGAAAAATCAGACAATTTTTTTTCTTGAGAACCACTTAAATGATATTAAATCACTTTTAAAAAAGTCTTATATTCGAACCTGGTTGTATAATGAGGAAACTGTAGCAAGAAGACGAGATATAAATGAATCCTGACCCTGCTCACCATTCTCAGCTAGTAAATAATTATTATTATTATTTTTAAATATTGTTGCTTAAGCTTTTAATATCACTTAATAATTTCATTGTTGTCGTTGTTGTACCATAATTATCATTTAATAATATTGTTGATGCTATAAATTTAACATTACATTTTTGTTGTTTTTGTATCCATAAATATCAATTTATAATGTTGTTGTTGATGAAGCCAAAATTATCATTTAATAATGATGTTGCATCAATTAACATCACATTCAATTTTTTGTTTGTTGTGTATCGTAGCCATAACTATCATTTTATAATGGTGTTGCTTTTGTTGTTGAAGCCATAATAATAGTTTTTAAATCTTTTAGATTTTTCATTTATAACCCAAGATTATTTTCAATACTTATGAAAAGTATACACCTTTGTATTTTTTCATTAAATTGTTGTTGTTACCATAATAACCATAATAATGTTGTTGTTTTTATTGTAACCATATTAATTAATTGATAATGTTGTTGCTGTTTTAGCCATTTATTCACAGTGAAGTATTTGGACATGGAAATTGGCTGTAAAGTTACTTTGACCACAAACTAAATGATTATAATGAAAACTTATTTTCTTGTCTAATCATTAAATTATGGAAAACATGTTGTTTTATATGATAACTATCTGAAAGGCCCGGCGTTGCCTATGGAAAAAAAACTTGAAAAAAAAAAATGATTTTTTTTCAGCCTATAATACCCTCTACCCATCGATGAGTGTCCACCAAAAAATTCAGCCCAATTGGTCCAGCCGTTTAGCCGGCTATAGGCAACATATATATATACAAATGTCTTGTTTTATTATATAGATAAAATGAAAATTTTTTGTTTTATCTTATAATTAAATGAAAAAAAAACTTTATTGTTAATAATGTCAAAATCGTTGCTTTATCTTTAAAATACGATTTCTAATCAATTTATAAAATGAAAAATAATGTTGTTTAATTTAACTATAAAATATAAAACACTTGTGTATCTTGTCATAACATAAAAAGGTTATTAATTAAATGATATAAAAAGTATTGAATTATCTACAAAATTGATGAATACAAATTATTGTTTAATTTCAAAAATAAAAAGTTTTTTAATAATAAATAAAATATGTCATTTTATCTGGTAATAAATGAAGAAATAAGGTGTTTTGTATTTAAATAAAGTAAGAAAAGTTATTAATCTTATCATAAAACAAAAAATAAAACAGTAATACATAAAAATAACTGACCAGCCAGCACTGAGTTTTCTCTCTCCAACATAACACATTTCTGCTGCAGCTTTACATACTCAGTTCTAGGATTGAAAAGAAATTATTTCCATAATTAAAGGGACTGTAAGCATCATTTCAAATGACTATCCATGTAAAGATGGTAATACCCAATTTACAACAAAACCCTTGACACCATTTTCTGATTAAAAATGTAAAAAATACAATAGTTTTTCTTGCTTGAAAAATGTAAAAACGTAATAATTTCTTAATATAACCACAATTAAAAATAATTAGTTTTCTGAATTTAAAAAATTAATTTCTAAATTCTACTTAATTAACAAAAGCATTTAAGGATATTGTTGTGAATCGGGCATTCCCATCTTTGCATGGAGGGCAACTTGAAATTAGGCTTACAGTCTCTTTTATGTCTTTTCAAAAAAAATTGAGGGTTTAAAATACTTCTTTATTTTTACACTTTACAATTCCAATCGCACACTGAGTTATTTGATAGTACAGACTGAGACAAATTAACTTAATCCAGCCTATAAGTAACATGAACAAGTGCAATTAATTAGCAAACAAAATCTGTAGTGGTCTTGGTTGTATACTGTTCTATAGTTTGCTACATATACTTATATAAAGAGAAGTACCATGTTCTAGGGTTTCCAACGTTATAGATTATTCACTTACCCGAAATTACGTGCAGTTACGCGAAATGATTTTCATTTCGTGTAATTTCGCAGGATTTCGCGTAATTGGCAAAACTTCAATTTCACGAAATTACGGCGTAATTTCGCTTAATTTCTACAACATTATTTTCACGAAAATTTGTAATAATTACGCGTAATTAGAGAAACTTTGATTTCGCAAAATTACGCCGTTATTTCTAATAAAGTAATTTCGTGAAATGTTGCAATAATTACGCCTAATTAGCAAAACCTTCATACAAACCAGCATACTGGTGAACATTTTAACCTTCCTGGACATGAAATCTACCATCTAAAAGTTAAAGTACTAGAGAAGGTTTGGGACCTTGTGAGAAGTTTACTTTAAGTACGAGAACCTAAATACATCAGAGGTTTTATGACTGATCTCACAGAAATGAACAGAAAAAAATAGTTTTTATTTAATTGTAAACTTTAATTCAGTATTTTTAAGAAAAAAGATTATTTTTATCAGAATCAGTGTTAAAATTGAGAAGGATAGCAGCAAGGAAAGTTAGGAGTCTTTGTGAGAACAGGGGCTGCAGGAGAACCTGGAAATGCACAAAATAACAGGAGACAAACTGGCAAATAAGCAGTATGATCTGAAAAGGAAGTAAAGATCATGTTTAAGAGAAAGGTGAAAAGACAATAATCTAGCATTAGAGCAGTGGTGGAGGAGAATGGCAAATTATATACTGATCTGATTAGTGTTGAAGAAACTGTTCGCAGAGAGATTAGCAAAATATTCAAGGGACAAAGGTCACACAAATTTTTAAATTAAAAGGATAAAGGACAACAAATAGCAGATACTGCTTATCAAATGAATAAATCGGACCAGTAGGATTGGATAACCAAACAGGCATAGAAAATGGCACATGAGGCCAAGGTGAATAGTCGGATACTTAAACCACAGGTTATGGAGTTAGAAGGGAAGTATCTGGGATTGATAATCTATTAACATTGCTGTAAAAAAAAACATCAGTCTTGTACTATGACAGGTTGACAGAGATGATAAATGTGTTCCTGAACTCCTTAGATCCTTAATGTTAATAATACTTACCCTTATAGATAGATAGATTATCAGATACAGAGCATTATCACCAAACTGTTGAATGAAAGAATGATCAAAGTGTGTGAGATGCTGGGATACTTTGGCTCAACCCGATGTATTTTTGTATTGCTCCAGATATTAACAAAAGCAAGAAAGAAAAATACAAGATCTCAGTTGCTTTTTTAACCTCAATAAGGCTTATGATTCAGTGAATGGAGAGTTACAGTACAAAAATTGGGGAGCACAGGATTTGGAAGCAGTCTTGAGCATAATCCAAGTACTGAATTTCAATGATTGCACAAGAGTTAAAATATGAGGAGAATTCTTGAAACCAGTGGCCGAATTTAAAGAATTTGAACGGCGGTTTAAATTTAAGCCGCGATTTAAATATGCTTGGTTCCACTTAAAAGTGTATCAAATGTTTCAAGATTTAAACCGGCGCTTAATTTAAATCGGGATTTGGCGGATTTAAACCGCGGCTCAAATTCTTTAAATTCCATCTCAGTATAGTTTACTCATGGAGTGAAGCAGGGGTGTTGTTTATCCCCACTTTTATGTTCCCTCTATATAGCTGGTATATAGATCAAATTACAGAATACTAAGCGTAAAGTCCAGATGGGAACAGAAACAATAACAGGGTTATTTTTAGCAGACAATTTGGTACTATTCTCCAAAACCAGTTGCAGAGGTATGCTAAATCTACTAACGGAGGTGGACAAGTTCTGCAAGGATATGTGCATAATGATGTCAGTGGAGAAAACATAAATATTGACACTGGACTGAAGGATAGATCTTGGAGAATATGTGCTTGGGATAGGTAACTAGAGAAAACCTTGGTTGCACAGTAGATGGGAGTAAATATAAAGCTGTGAGGAAGAAATATTATTCAACATGAGACTAAGTAGTAAGAACAGCAAGATGGAATGCTACTGAAATTTTGAGGCTGACAAGAGCTGGTCTGGACTGGGCATAGGTTGCAAAGAGGTTGAAGAGGTGTTGCCCTCTACTTGTACAGGAAAGAGGCATTGTACTCTACTTGTACCATTCTACTGTAGTCGAAGAGGCATTGTACTCTATTTGTACCATTCTACTGGAGTTGGAAGAGGCATTGTACTCTGATTTATTCGATGGAGTACTAAAGATGGAAGAGGCTTTGTACTCTGTTTTATCCTGTAGAATGATGTTTCCCAACCCTGAGCTAAACTCTAAACCCTGGAGAATTTTGTTTCCCAACCCAGAGCTAAACTCTAAATCTGGAGAACTTTGTTTCCCAACCCTGAGCTAAATTCTAAACTCAGAGTAAGAAATGAATGTTCTTAAACCTGGAAATAAACACGCCTCCCCCTCCGAAGACTTTCTGAACCGTTGACTATTTGGTGCAGAGACCTAATTGGAAATAAGGTGAGAATTGCACAGAGGTTTTAGGAGGTATGAGCAATTCCAGCCATCTTGTATGGGTCACAGACCACGGTGTTCAGTGATAAGGTCATTAAAGAGTTTGTGTCAATCCAAGTTGCAATAGGAGTATTTATTTTACAAATCCCACAATCATCATCCAAGGTTATAGGATGGATTGATGAGCAAGAGCAGAAAATCTGAGATTAGGAAACAGAATATAGACTAAAAATAGAGATAAAATCGAAATGTGCCCATAGTTTGAGAAGATAGGATTGAGTATTGGGATCAATGAGGCTCATTTGTCACTGGTTTGTCCAGGTGCCAGGTATATCAAAGCTTGAGATTTGGAATCCGGAAGGGTCTAATGGTGCTTCATGTGGCCTTCAAGTACTTCATTGGAGAGGTCAGAGCAAGTGCAGTAATATCTGAAAGGGAACCAGAGATGAGATTTTAAAAGCCTAAACCTGAGTAAAACCCAAGCTTGGGCTTAGATAGAACCCAAGTCAGGATTGGTTCTTATTCAACCAACGAGAGACTGTTTAGCAAGCTTTAAAAATTATCTTGTAAACAGAACTCAATATCTGCTTCATGGTGATATCCTCTGGTCTGTGTTCCAATACTTTTCCAGCAGTTCTTCTAGATTCTTGGTGTATAGGCTTCTGCCATTCTCATTATTCCAGTTCATGCAGATTTTAAGCATACAAGAGCAAAACAATTGAAAAAACAAGGAACAAGAACAGACGATCTAGTTGAATGCCCTTGTTCAAATCTTAGTAGTTCCAGCATTCTGCTGAACCAGTAAATGATAATTTGCTGATAAATTAAACTTGAAATCGACCTCAATACTAGAACTGAGATGGTATTGCTTCAGTAACAGAGTTATAGGCTCTTGAAATAAACTACCACAAGATATCCAATCTTCCAAGAGGGTAAATGTATTTAAAAACAAATATGATCACTACATCAGATCCGCAATGATCACTGGGATTTATACACAAATCTAGAAGTTACCATTTTACTATCAAATGATCATCTGTTCCTAAAAACATTCTCTATATATTCCTATATTGAACATTCAGGATAAACAATAAATTATCAAGTATGTATCTGCTACAACATAAATGGAAAGCAATTTAAAAAAAAGTATTTTCAACAATAAACCACATCTACACAAAAACAATTTTTTTGATAAAATGACGAGAAAAGTAAATAAAAATAAACCTAAGTAATGAAAGATGTTGCGACAGTTTATCCACTTCTGACTGTGACATCTTGATCTTTTTACAAGTATCAGCAGAACAATTTCATTCTAATTCTGCAATCATAAAGATCTTAACAAAAATAATTATAAATATAAATATTATATTAGTATACGCACAAAATAAGGTAGAGTAAGAATATTTTAAAATTGTTATAAGTTTAAAATTCTAATTAGGGGTTTATATGCATTTTTTTTAAAAATTTCATTTAGATTTTTTTTTGCAAAAAAGTATTTTTTTTAATCAGCAATTGAAAGCAAATTTGATATACCTTTTGAGAAATACCAAACAGAAAGCATAAATGGAATAAATATCTCATAATCTACATTCTACATATGATTCAATATTTCTTCTAAACATTTCTTAAAACCTCCTTTAATAAAATTTTTGTATTATAAGAAGAATCTTACTGTACCCTAGCATTGGCCTATTTTGAAAACTAAACATTCCAAATAGTGACAATAATCTCAAGAATTTTAAAAATTTCAATCGAAAGGTAAATTAGCTATATGAGATTTCTATTTGGAAATTTTTCACATGCATGGTGTACAAATTTTTACAGAAGTTACTCTAGGGCTTAATAAATTCAAGTGAATTATACATAAACAAAATATAGGTTGGGTGGAGTTTCAAATATAAACACATTTCCTTTTTTTGTGATAATTTAGCTATTTCAAATTCCTGTCACAATAAAGTTTGGTAGTATTTTTTTGATTGCTTGAAAAAAAGAAACATTATTACATATTCATGTTGATTTTATTTTATCAAAATGTTATAAAAGAGAAAATTTTACTCCACTTTGGCATGGTTCCTGCAATTGAACCACCCTGAAAGAGTCACTGACATATTTTAAAACTATTTTATTAATCTGACAACATTTTTTGGAACCATTTCTGCATTCCACATAAGCATTTTTTTGTTTTTATACACTTTTAAAACAAGGACTCAATATTGACTGTAAATATACTTAAGTGTACTGTACACTGTTACTGTGTACACTGTCCAGTGTACAGTGTACACAGAAAAAGCTTTCTCAACATTCATAAGCTTTAACAAATTTAATATGGACAATGTTGGTCAATAAACATTGGGAATAGTATTGACTGCCATTAAGGTTGGATAAATTTAAAAGAACTGATTAAAACTCAACTTTTCTGATCCTTAAATCTTTGCAATACAATGTTGTATACCTGATATTTCAAACTATGAATTCTGCAAAATCAAATTAGCCAAAGTTTTAATTTTCTATGGCGTTTGATTATATAGGATTAGAAGATTAGAGTCTTGAAGTGAAATATCAGCTCCTATATCAGCTCAACGTTTATTGATTAACCTTGTACTTCTAAATCACAATTCACATCATTGGTTCACAACATATTTTTAAATGTATGCCCCAATATATCATGGAGGCAGCAAAATATCTTTGTAAGTTTGTTTTGATCTGTAAACTTGGAAAACAGGATTTTTTATTACCTCCCAGTTAGCCCTCCCCCCCTCCCTCCTTTTACTCTTCACCCTAAAACTACAACATTTTTGAAGAATTAAGAATAAATTTAGTTAATAGTTATTAACAAAAGGGATCAATACAACTCAACATCACCAAATTGATTGAGCTGGAAAACACTTTTTACTGAACACATAATTATATCTTGATTGGCATGGGGCCCCTTCTCACTCCCCAAATGTGCTTGGCATATTGCAGAACTTGTTGTGAGTGGGAACATAATGGGCCAAAAGAGAAATGGAGATATGGCCCCTTTAACGTACAACAACTTAAAAAAATGATTTTCCAGTCTAATCATTTGATAATTTTGAATCCTAGGCATCCAATAAACCCAAAGGACAAAAAAACTCAAGTTAAAAAATCCCACCCCCCCCCCTTAAAAAAAGTTAGTGAGAATGACGTCCATTAGTAACATCATCCACCACCCCCGCCCCATTATCCAAGTAATCAGTATTTTGCGTACTTCTTGAAAACCGGCTCCTGAAATATAACAATCTTTTAATCATGCAGGGCCATTGAGAGTGTATCTAAGGAGAAGGGAAAAGGGGTTGTTTCTAGGTAACTGTGACGTATTAGGACTGGTCAGAAACTGGTTTTGAATTCAAACATTATCTTATCTTTATTCGTAGATAACAATTGTTCTGAGCTGAAAACTTTAGAATTGTGGTTATCACGATCATTGTTTGATCTTCCTTTTTTATTAATTTCAAAATTAATTTAATCATAAGATTCTATCCTGAAAAGAACCAATCAGACTGGCAATTGGAGAATCCGGAATGCCAATCAGAAGCAGAGACATTTTAAAATTTTGCGCACTCAATCAATGAGAATGGTTGCAATCCAGCATAGATATCCTAAGAAAATAAAAAGTGTCCACAGCGGATACAGAGATTTATCAATCAGGGCTTCAGCATTTGGGATTAAGGGTATCCAATTCTAAAGTTTTAAGCTGAGCTCATTTAATTCTTACTTTCAAGGTAATTCAGAGTTCTTTTATTAAAATAATTGTTCATTTTTAAAGAAAGAAAGTTTCTCAGCTGTCCACATACATCATACTTAAATGTAAACAACCCTTATCTCTCCCATTATCGTGTTTGATCTCTTTAGGCATAAAAGAGGGGAAAGAGGAGGGATATAATTTTCAAAAAATATATCCCTGATTGTCTTTATATGGAGACATCATAACAATTAGACTATTTTTCAGGAAAATTAAACCCGTCATAAAGTCACCTTCTATCCAACATAGTTTTTTTATCTTACAACAAATATTTTTAAATACAAAGGTATTGTTAGCTCTAATAATAAGAAACTCAAAGGGACTGTAAGCGTAATTTTAAGTGACCCTTCACGTAAAGAGGGCAATGGCCGATTTATTATGGTAGCCTTAAAACCTATGCATGTTCGTTGAATGCAGAGATATGTGTGTGTAAACTTATCAAAACTTGATTGTATTCAGCTTCAAATTACGTATGCAGCGCACACTGAAAATTGCATACAATCTAGTTCTGGTATTTACAAGGTTGTAAACCAGTGTAGCCATCTTTGCTTGGAGGATCAAATGAAATTGCGCGTAAAGTAAAAAAAGATTTTCAATAAAAATTAGAAAAAGAATTAATTTTATGAAAGCATAAAATCTAAAAATATTTGTAATGTACATTCTATGTATAAAAAGCTAACAGACCTGTTGAAGGCGAGTCTTCTAAGATTTTGATCAAAAAAGTCAGTGATGTGACGTTGGCTGATTACACGCTCCTCAGCAGATGATTCTATAACAAACAACATGTTTCTTTTTCTTGCCATCTCATTCCCTACAATGCCTTTCCTTCCCATCTCATCCCCTCTCATCACATCCCATCTCCTCTTGTGCCGTCCCAATCTCTTCCCTTAACCTTCCATCACATCCCATCTCCTCTCGTGCCGAAATAGTCCGTTCCATCACCTACCATTCATATCAACTTTGCCAATCACATCCTGTCCCTTGCCATCCCTTATCAACTCTTCCTATTCCATTCCGTTCCTTCCATTCCATTCTTTCCCTGCCAGGACCTTCTTATACCTTCCTTTCAAATTTCATCACTTCCATCCCACATCAAACCTTCTAATCCCTCTCTTCCCTGTTAAACCCTTATTGACCCATCCCATTCCATATCATCCCTTTCAATTTCATCTGTGCCAAATATTTTTTTTAATCCATATCCCTGGGTATTCAAACTCTCCCATTCCTTATCCAGGGGTTAACAATATTAAGAAAAACTGAAAAATTGGACATCAACTGAGAATTTATTCCACCCTTTAAGATATTTCTAACCATGAAATTCAAATATTTTCCCTGTAAATCAATTTATTTTCCCAAAACAGCAAACAAACTACCATTTAAAAAGTAGACACCTAGCATCTGAGAAATGGGGGGGTGTTTTAAGACAAATATATACCCATATATCTCTCTCTCTGTTTTACCTGTAAACCTGACTACAGGATAGAAGAATGCTGGAGTACAGAGAACTATACAAACTAAAGTTAGAAGCGTCCAATGTGTTCTAGGTTTAGGTCCGCAGTTGTACTTCTCTCCCCAGATACGCTGCGTCATGTTAATGGCGTCTAGAAATACACGGTTTCAATTTATTGTCTTCTAATAATACAAGAAATTAACAGTCTAGAAATGATTTAAGTGTATTTCTAACATTTCTGAGTCTTATTATTGGCGTCAAATAATACGGTAAATGATGTCAATGCCTTCAAAATTCACAGTGGCGCATGGGAGGTATAAAATCCTCTGAAACATGATGTATTTTCAACACCAAAAAACTCTTTCCTTTTATATGTGAACAATCCCTTTGGTAAATATAATAATCACCAAGTATATCGAAGCAAACAGAGTCTGTAAAGGGAGCATCTTGATCCAGAATATTGAACTTGTAGTAATCAGACAGATTCTGAAGAAGAAAAATCAGAGGCCAAATTAATTGAATTTAAACCGCTTTGCAAGACCGCAAATCACCGGTTTAAGTTGCGCAGTGACTCAAATCTCGGAAAAAAAATCATTAAAATTTCAAGTTGAACCAACCATGTTTGAACTGCGTCTCTTGTTTAAATTCTTTAGCTTCGGCCTAATGATGTAGATAAGATAATAGATAAAGCGAACTCTAAAGGCAAGACTCTCCAAGTTTCCAACCCCCCCCCCCCCTCCTTGGAACGTTCTTTTTCAGTAATGTTGGGCAATTGCATCCTGTTTGATTTATTTTTTAACAATCAAGCTTTTTATGCTTTGGAGGCTCCATAATACAAGAGCTTCTACTTATAAAAAAATCATTTGGTCCATCTTCTATATATATAAAGTTTAATATCTGTTTGTTTGTCTGTCTGATTATAACTCAGGAACACCTGGACCGATTTGCCTCAAATTTTGATTGGGAAACTCTGAAGAACCCCGGGAATGTTCTTAGCTTGGTTTTGAGATTCTAAATTTCTAAATTGAGTGGGTCGACTTTAGTAGCGAAAATTTAGTTCCCGGTAAAACCTTTCAAGTGCGGGTAACCAGCTGGAGAAACTTTTAGAAACCTTGGTAGCGCTGGGTTCCCAAGCTAGTAATCTATAAGTTTTCTTTTTTTACGTTCTATGCAAAATTTTGAATTTGAAAGATTGTATTTGCTTAGTTCAGGCCATTTCATTTTTTGTCAGAGTTAAAATATTGCAAGGTGCTACTTGTAAACAATATGATTTGGAAATATGTTTGCACATTTTTTAAAGCCAACGAAAACCCAAATCTATATATATATATATATATATATTTTGCTAGTCTGTTTGTTTGTTTGTCTGTTTTTATCCAATAAATATCAAAACGGCTTAACTGATCGGGCCCAAATTTTGTGTGGTACCTCAGGTCCCTATGGAAGATTAATAGATTTTCAAAATTTTTAAATTTTACCCCCCCAACAAAATTCGATTTGCAATTAGTTTTGAAAATCCACGAGTTTTTCTTTATAAAATCCGCAAATTTGTTTTTGTTTTTGTTTCAATGTTTACGAATAGAATATTTCATAGTTGAAATGGAATATGGGTGCGAAGTGCCCTAAAAGTCTAGATTCTTTAAATATTAACAAATCAAGAAAAAAAACCTCTTTTAACCTGATAGACATATTGGCATTCAAGACAAGCTTCACTAGTGTTTCTTTCAGAATTTCCCTAAAAATGCATAAAATACAGCAAAATACGATCATGCGAATTAATTCGAAATCAAAAGAGTCTTTCTTAAAGTTAAAAACAGAAAATTTTAGCAAAAAATCAAGAAATCATAAGCAAATCAAAGTTTTTATCAAAAAGGGTAGAAATCATTATACAAAAATAAACAATAGGGTGAGTTAATTTTTTTGAATTTGTCTCAATTTCAAGGCGGTTCTTTGACAAAATAAAAAATCAAAAATGTTAAGCTTCCTTTAAAAATTGTAAATTTATTAAAATCTAATTTTATTCACAGATTTAGACCCCCCCCACCCATGACAACCCCTATCCTACAAACAAACAATAACTATCAAAATTGAAAAAAGTCTGATCTGAAAAATGTCAAACCTTACCTCAGCGTAAGGATATTGCGCAAAGCAAGATTGGACTATTGAATGTCTGTCGAAAAATTCTTTTGTTTCCTAAATAATTGATATTAAGAAAATAATAATGATAACAAATTAATATTAGACTTTAGTTTAAAGGGAGTGACCGGCAATGTATGGTGGTTAAACTGAATATGTAGTATTGTGGACATATTTTTTAGGATTCATTTAAGACATATAAAACGTTTCTCTGCGACGAATATTTAATGAGTTTGAGCAAAAATTCGACGTTTAAAATCATGAATTTGGGTGGGTACGTTTTTAGAATCGTTTTTTTATTATCAAAAAAAGACGACAAAAAATGTACACTTTTTTATGTTTCAATGTTTCTTATTACAGTAAACTAATAAGTTGTTTAGGAAAAGGGTGAGAAAATAAAAATTAACTCTTATCATCGAAAATAACTAACCTTATTCAAATATTAGTTTCTACAATCTCTCATTATTAACAAAGATCTTCTGCAGATTTTCTGGAATTTTTATTGAAGAGTTTGTAGAAATCTGCGAACAAATTCATAAAAATTAAAAAAAAATTCAATATAATGATGAAAACAAAATAAATGATTCTAATATTGATTTATTGAAAAATTTCTTTGGACAAATATGTTCCTAAAAATCTGATTAGTTTACTGAATTATTTTAAATTTATTTTTTGTCGTCGTTATTTTATAATTCAAAAAACCGATTCTGTAAACGTACCCACCCAAATTCATGATTTTAAACGTCGACTTAGCACTCAAACTCAGTACTTATACATCGAGGAAACGTTTTAAATGTCTCAAATTAATCCTAAAAATGTGTCCACAGTTCAACCTCAGTTCAACCACCATACATGCCGGTCACTCCCTCTAACTAGGAATTCTTAAAAACTTTCTTTCAAGACTACAGGAACACACAATTTTATTCATAGCTTCAGCTGCAGTGATGGTCACTTGTGACGTAATATGTTAATACAGAAACCACAATTATAAATTTTTGTATAGAAAAAATGGATATCTTCGGTAATGNTTTGTACATGGATCTCATATGTAACACATGGATATAATCGATCATGTGGCCGCAGCGCCCGGCCCACTTGCCTGTCCTAGCCGCGGCGCTCGGTCCCCTAGAAATTGTCTTAACCTAACCTAACCCTAAAATAATAAAAAAATAATAATTTTGCTGAAAAATAAGTGGTCATATACAAAATTGATAGGATGGGGGGGGGGAGGTCGAAAAATTGTTCCCTAGGACGAACTCTATCTTCCTTATATTTCTTTTAAGTAAAATAAAACCAGGTATTATATTTAAACAGTGGATCAACCTGTATTTACCTTAGAATGATTACTGTTGTGAGATAGTGGCATCGTATAGCAGCTGTTACAGTGTCCTTTGAACCATAATCCCTTCAAAACAATGTTTTAATCTTGAACTGTACCCGTAATTTCAAGTGACCCTCCATGTAAAGATGATAAAGTCCGACAAACAAGGAATATCAGGAAATGGAATCTGTAAGAGACTACAATGTAAACCCCCAGACCGCCGCCAGGTATGGGAAGCACCGTCCCAATATCTGTTCCATTGCCGGACCTTTAATCCCGCCAAGCTTTAAACCCAGCCGGGGGGATCCAGGAGATACTTCCAGTGGCTGGCAAACCAATTAACCCATTAACAAAGCTTTCTCTGATCAAGTATGAATCCGGTTTGAATATTTATAATTTTGAAAACTGATTATTTTCATTTGTGGTTTCTCAACAAAAGTGACTTGATCATTTCTTCTACAGGGAAACCTATAGGAACTACCTTGAACCTACAACGAAATATCTTCCACATTATTGATCAGATTAGAAGGTTACAAATTTACTGTCGTGAAGCTGGCATTGCCATATTTACATGGAGGGTCACTTGAAATTACGCTTACAGTCCCATTAAAATTCGAAATTTAAACAAATACTACTAAAGCATGTAAGTTGTAAATACAATAGTCAGGGCCCATAGGGGATAATTTACTTTTGATCCAGAAATACAAAAAAGGTCGAAGTTTTTTGGTCTGGTTTTTGGTCTGGTTTTTAATGCCAATGCAACCCTAGCATTAAAAAGGACACATGTTCTTTGCTAGATAAACTCTAACAATACCTGTGTAGGGTTGGATCGAGTGGGCTCTGCTGCGATGTACTCATATGTTTCCTATAATATGAAAATGTTTACAAATGCCGAATGTTTGTTCTCTCAGAGAATAATCTGATACTAGGCTTTTAGAGCGCTTCGCGCCCATCTTCTATTTAAATTGCGAACATGTTCTTTTTGTTTAAATTTAAAAAAAAAGAAAAAAATTTTGCGGATTTTTAAAAAAAAATTCGCGGATTTTCAAGAATTTAAATTTTTTACAACCTTTAGAAACCTTTAAACCTTTAAAATACATTTTTTAAATTTTTATCATTCATAAACCTTCTCTGTGGTCACGTGATGTCCCACAAAAAATTTGGGCCCGATCGGTTCAGCCGTTTTGACGTTTATTGGATACAAACAAACGAACAGACAGACAAAAAAGCCAAATTTATAGATAAATAGAGTCAGCGATCAGTTCCTTTACAGTTTAGACTTCTGTATCAAATAATATATGAAGGGTTTTCTTTCTATTTCCGGTGTTTTTCATTATTTTGGGAATTTTTTATTCTCATATTTAATGCAGATAATTATTTTCTCGAATATTCTTCTTTCCTCGGTATCTTTATTCACTTTATTTAACTGTGTTGCATTACCTAATCCTTATATATTTGCAACCTTATGTCTTAGATCTATGATTTTTGTTATATTAATTAGTCAAGGATAAAAATATGAAAGATTTCCTCCAAAAGGTTGCAAAGAATCTATTTTCACCATTGTCTAGTATTTATATATATTTTCAAGAAAAAAATTGCAACTTAGTCTATAACAATAAACCTGAATAATCTCAACTCTATCCTGAGCAGTCAAAATATCTTTACAGAGAACCCCGGACTCTTCTTCACTTGTATTTGACAACATCTAAAAATACTAAATTTAAAAAATCTGGTCCAAACCGAGTGTCCTGCCTTTGAAAAAGCTTGAAGGCCAAACGTAGCGTTTAAAATGAAGAACTTCACATAAAATCTGAGAATCAAGTAAGAGAAATGAGTTTCCGAAACTTTTTAAAAAGGAATCTTCTTAAAACACTCCCGTAGTATTTAGGAATTCAAGAAAATTAAACTTAGGTAGGTAAAGGCAATGAGTTGGCTTATATTGCTGAATGCTGATGTCAACTCTGAATCTTTATAATCTAAAGAATTTATGATAATCCACATTGAGAACCAGAAAACTATAGAATAGGAAGACGACATTTAAGCAATAATTAAGTGTATTTGAGGGTGTTTCTAATTCTAGTAGCTAATTATATCACTTGAAAACTGAAATTTGTTAATTTTTTTTACACTGCACTATTGCTGTGGCTCATATTCTTTGAACTATTTCACGTCATAACGTCTGATTCCTATTCCAGAGTATTAGGATTCTCACTGCATAGTATATAGTATATAGTATATAGCAAAATATACAAGAAAGAGTTCATCATGGATTACAGGATGATATAAATAAAGTTAACACCCAGTCGGTCAAAGATGCACTAAAATAAAAATGAAAGCAATGAAAAGTGATGCATTATTTGACTTCAGCTCTGCTGCTTAATTAATGCATCAAACAAGTTAATAGATCATGTAACCACCCTATTTAAATGGTTTTTGGCTACAGGCAAAATTCCTGCTTTTTTACTACTGTGCACATTAGTGCCCATAGTGAAGGACAACTTAGATGACATTGCTATCAGTGACAATTACAGGGCAATTGCCATTGGCAGCTTGATTCTAAAATGGTTTGACTGGTTGATATTAATTCTAAACTCTGATAAGCTGACCACAGATGAACTTCAGTTTGGGTTTCAGAAGCTAGCCAGTACTACAATGTGCAGCTGGGGGGTCAACTCTGTAGTGGATTATTATAACAGAGCTGGTAGAGCAGTTTATGCTTGTGCAATGGATCTGAGTNTACTAGAATGAATAATTTATATGTTGAAGGATTCGATGATTACGTAATAACTGAAATGATAAATATGTTATGTAGTGAGTAAAAAAAAATGTTTTCAATTTGTGCATAAATTTGCATATTTTTTCTCTTTTCTTTTGGAAACCTGTATTTTCAAAAAAAAATTTATTTAAACAAATTTTAACTGCACCATTTATATATGTATTTATATCTTTGTGTGTGAATAAATCTTTATAATAATAATAATAATATTCCAAAAGAATTCTATGAAAAATTAAACTATAAATAAAAATACCTGATAAATTTCTGTCAAGTCCAGAACATACGGAGCACATTGTCTGCACATAGATATCGGCTAATAGGGGAAATTAATTAAATTTCTGTTTTTTTTTTTTAAATCGTTGTATGAGATCAATAACAGAAAAGCTTAATATGTAACAATGACAATAATAAAAGATCAACCATCATTCATCTAAAAGACCTTTTCCCTAAATAAAAAAGACCAACCACCATTGTTGTTTTACAACCATAAGAGAAAAATATGATATTTACGCATAGAACAAAAAATTATTGATTATTTTGTAAATGATGAAATATCGCCCCCCCCCCTCCTTAGACTTAAAAAAATTAACTATTGGCCAATTTCTTATTCATTTAACCATAGGTACAACTATAGGTCGTATCTATCTATCTACACTGCTCTGGTAAGCGTAACCATGAGAGTGACTATGGTTCTACCTATGGTAGAGCGTCTAAGAAACTGGCCATAAAATAATACGATTTTAAATCAATTTTATTCCTTTGCATAAGTGTTTGCACAGAGAACGAACATTGAACTGGATTTGCTGAATTTGTTAAGAAGATTCTGACAGGTTCCGTTAGGATTCATGTTCTAAATAATATAAATGTCACTCCATTTCATGATCCCCTCTCAGAGGCGTAAAAATATTTCTGTAAAGACTTAAAGTAGTAAGAATTCAAATTTTTCACACTTAAAGTTGTAATAAATAAAGTAAATTTAAAGTACATATGTAATAATAATTATTTACAACTACTTTAAATGCGCGATTTTTTCCCTGAAAACTTTGCAGAGCGGGTGGTTTCTTTACATTGCTGTCCCAAGGGACGTTAAGTAACTTATCCTCCCTCTATTGGGGGAATCATAGGTCGGTAATATTGGTCAAAAGGCGGTAAATAAACTTATTGGAATTGACGTTCTACGAATTGAAGTAATAAGGTTNTTTATACAGGACCAACATTTAAAACAAAATTAACGATAATTATTTTGTATCGTTTCAGGGTTACAGATTAGGTTAAGTCAAATTCTGGGCCGGCTATAACAGGCTAGGGGGCCGGGCGCTACGGTCACAAGCCCAACTTTGAACATACATGAAACATATGAGCGCCATAAAAATAGAATAATTATAAGAGGGGGTGCCCTGGAGGGGTTCACCGACATAGGGTCTAACGACAAAGGGTAAAGCGACCTAGGATAAAACGACAAAGGCTCTAAATGGAAAAAAATATTTTATGTTATATTATATTAATTTCAGGGTTAGGTTAGGACCAAGCGCTGAGGCTAGGACAGGCTAGGGCGCAGCGGCTATTAGTTTTAATGAACATAAAACATAACTTAAAAAAAAATATCATTTCAGGGTAATTAGGTTAATGACAATTTCTGGGCCGAGCACTGTTATCTAGGTGAATCCCTGGAGGGGGCCAAAAAGCGTACAAAAGAAAATTACCTCGGTTTATCAACTCACCCAATAGATTGAAGAATACCTTTAATAAATAATCCAACTCATAAAGATTTCCTTCAATATCCAGCATAGCTTGGGAGTGTAACATCATAAACATCAATATTAGTATAGTCAACATTCCCATTTCTTTTCATTCAAGTTTTCATATACATCTGAAATAGAGTCAGATTGAAAATAAATAAATACTTAAATATTGATAAAGCCAAAATTACAAATAGTACAATTCAAAACAAGCATACGATTTCACAGGTAAAATTAGGATAAACAAGGAAGAGGAGTTTCTCCTCTAGCAGACGATATTTGTTTCTTTAGACGCTCAAAGTTATGAAATTGCCGCAATATATTTCAGTAAATATTTTTTAAAGACGACATTTGAATGTTTTATCACCTTAGATGCTGCTGCTTATCAAAGTGATTAAATTCACTTTGGCTGCTTATATCGTTTGCTATTGTCCGATTGAACTATAACGTACTTTTGCACTAAAGTCAGCTGATCAGTAACCGGTTTTAAGTACGATCAAACATTGGTGCAAATGAACAGAAATCGGGTTTTCTGTGTTCAATTGGATTAAAATTTTACCCAGCTAACATTAAATCTTCGCCAGAGTTGGTTTTCCGCCGTCGTAAATGCGATGGCGGGGGATACATTGTACCGCAATAGTATATACTATATGTCCCCGCCATAGTGCAATTGTCGCAGTTTCGATGGCGGGGAATTCTGAACCTCTGTAGTAGAAACAAAATTTTCCCTGTGTGTGATCCTTTTACTATACCGCCAAGACCGACATCGAACCAGGTGATCGGAGCTCCGCCCAACTCCAGCGAAGCTTGTCGTAGAACGAGGCGGTTTAACCGCCGTCGGTCTTTATGTTAGCTGGGATATTTTCCCGCCAGTTATATTAATTAGTACATAATAAAGTTGGAGATCAAATTAGTATAAGTTAAATAATCCTTCAAAAGATTCCAATTATAAGCAATAAGGGAAAAAACGGAAGGGGGGATAATTCAAAACGTGTACACCAGATTTTATCATCAATTTTTAGTCTCGCATACAGCTCATACGGCATTGGCTTGGATTATTCTCGACGCGTCAGAAAATCTCGCAACAGCTGATATCTACAGAAAGACTCGCCCAATTAATCTCTTACAAAAAGAAAGTCTCGCAACAAATCATGTCAACTTTAATACAAATAAAGTCTCGCACATAAATTCAAGATATATAATTAAAGTTTAAATATAAATATTTTTCATTTTACTTTCAAATTTTCAATTTATATGATCAAGCGGAAAGATATCGTTGAAATGAAACGTGGCGGGTTTGTGCGAGGCTAATTTTCTTGGCTTCCTATTGGTTCATTTGTTGGCGTTATAGCAGGCCGTATAGTCAAAACTGAAAACCTTAGTTTCTTTCAAACCAAGGCAGAAAATTCATAGTCAAATGTGCTGAATAGTGGAACCTAAGTTATCTAAATAATAAACAAAATGTCGGGTCATCAAACTATTGCTATAACTGTTACTGGTTTAGCTGAATTGGCGCATTCCGAATATCAGGTTTGTTGGATTTTATTTTAAAGCTTGCAGGCCCTAACAGACTTTAAAGATTCACTTTTCGGTAAAAATCATTCTTTTAATTTAAGCTCTAATTAATCGTTCTCTAGGACGGACCCAAAAGTTTGATTAAAGATTTAAAATTCAGTGATGGTGATGGACCAAACCTCTGTAGAGTAAAAAAGTAGATTTTAGTTCCACATTTATTGAAAATATATTTCGGTCTGTCGTTCTCTAGGAAAAATCGTTCTCTAAGACTAGTAATTTATAGGAGTTCAGCTTTGACTGGATCCCTTTTTTCCCAATAAACTCAACACACTCAGCTTAGAATTTCGTAGCTATTTGAATAAACAAAAAACATTCACAATGCTATCGCTCTGATATATTCAAGACCAAGTTGGGAACCTTAAGCTTTGTCTGGAGGTTGGTCATTTCCTACAGAACGTTTTTTGGCTCAGAAATCGTCAAAGCTAACCCTAAATAACATTATTTTGCTGAAAATTAGTGGTCATGTATAAAATTGAAAGATCTGGAGGGGGGGGGGGGGGCAAATCGTTCTCTTGGACAGACCCTGGAGTTGTCTCTAATAACCCACTCAACTTAAATAAGAGTATTCCCCAGAGTTTTCCAATCAAAATTTGAGGCAAAATGGTTCTGGGGTTAACTAGTTCAGATTGGATATCCAAGCAGACAAAGAGAGACGTCTACTTATACTGAAAGTTAATATTTGTCTTCATTATTTAGGCTGGTGATTATGAGAATGCCGAGAAACATTCTATGCAGCTATGGCGGCAGGATCCAACAAATACAGGAATACTTCTTCTCCTCTCATCTATACACTTCCAATGCAGGAGATATGATAAGTAAGTACAGTTATAAGATGATAATTATTTTAGTCTATCAAGATGTTCTATCTTTAAAGAGTGTTAAATTCTAACAAATCACATATACTGATATTTTTTTTAATGTGGATGTCATTTATGGATTAATTCTTATTTTTATCTCTTTTTGTTTAGATCAGCACATTTCTCCACCCTGGCAATTAAGCAGAATCCTCTACTGGCCGAGGCATATTCAAACCTGGGAAATGTTTTCAAAGAGAAGAATCAACTTCAGGATGCCCTAGATAATTACAGGTAACAGAAAGTAATGTCCCTTCAGGTGGTTCGTTTTTTTGTTTTAATTTTATATATTTTAGATTATTTATTTTTGAAAAACAAATTTTTACCCTGGCAGAAAGATAACCCAAAAAATCGACCGTTTATGGATCGTTTTTGCACTTAATACTTTTGTTAAATATGTTTGACAAAAGCAAACTTTAATGAAGTTTTGAAATCTTCGAATTTTTATTAATAAAATTCTTTAACCGATACAAAACGATTAACAATACTAGCAACAGAACAGAGATAAAAACTATTGATATGGTTTTCATTACAGTTAGCTTTTTTTTTCGTCCGGCGGATAATGTTAAGTCCTTAGTTAACAATTTAAAGATTCGACTTATCAGAAGCCGCTTATATGCTGTGGACCAAAGAAATTTCGTAAAGTTCTCGCTTTCTGTTGTCTTTCATTGTAGTCATGGAAACATAAGTTCCAATCTCCGAAACTATTTTATTTTCTGGCGCACTTATTTAATATTGTTTATTTACGGGATTAAATTGTTTTTTTTTTTTCAAGAAAAGCAAGAAATATGTAATAAGGCCGGATTTTTAACGAAAAGGTTTTTTAAAAACTAAGTTTTTACACCCTTTCTATTTTAGACATGCAGTTCGTCTGAAGCCTGATTTTATCGACGGTTACATTAACCTGGCTGCAGCTCTAGTAGCTGCTGGAGATATGGAGGGTGCGGTACAAGCTTACGTTTCATCGCTTCAATACAATCCGGTAAGGTCACAGGATTTCTCGGATTTCCCTAATCTGATTGATTGATTGAGTAATTATTAATTGGCATGGGTTTTTATCTAGCAATTTTTGATTATATCCTGAATCGGGCTTAGCACTTTTACGTTTGAGGGTTACTTGAAATTTTAGAAGCAGTCCCTTCAAAACTTTTTTTATATATGATTTGATTTCATTGGTATTTGAAGTGATCAATTCATTTTAGACTAATTGATTGATTTAGCGATTAATTGAGTTTTATAGTGTGTTATTGATTTTAAGTGATTCATAGATTTTTAAGTAATATATTGATTTATAAACTGATGAATTGATTTCTAAACTGAGTAATTGATTTTTGAATTGATAACATGTCTTCTGAATTAATCAATTGATTTTTAACTGATTAATCGATTTTTATGTGATTATTATTAGATTTTGAAGTGATTAATAGATTTTTAAAGTGACTAATAGATTTGTTAACTGATTACATGTCTTTTGAATTGATTAATTGATTTTTGAACTGATAATTTGATTCCTGAACTAATTGCTTGATTTTTAAGTGATAATAGAATTTTAAGTGATCAATAGAATTCAAGAGATAAATAGATTTTCAAGTGATTAATTGATTTATGATGGGATTAGTTGACTTCTGAAGTGATAAACTGATTTATGATTAGATTGATTTTTGAAGGGATTAATTGATTTTTCCAGGATCTGTACTGTGTAAGATCTGATTTGGGTAATCTTCTGAAAGCTCTGGGTCGACTTGACGAAGCAAAGGTAAAGTCTAGATCACGTGATTGATCTCTGGTTATCTGACTACAATATTAGTCCGTGACAATCTCGAGTATAGCAATATTAGCAACTTCTTTTTCCAGTCCCATTTGACTTGAACTTAGTGGTGTATACTGTACAGTGTTACGTCACTGTTCATTCTTGTTCTAAAGTTTTATGTTGGTTGGTTCCATTCGCAGTCAATTTTACTCCCAAGGGACTGCTAACATTTTTCAAACTCTAATATTTCCTCCATTTTTGGTAAACGGAACAGGACTTAGCTAGTCTTGCCACTCAAAGATCCAAGTGGTAAGCATCACTTTTGCCAGAAACTGTTCTTTTTAAAGCATATTTCGTTTGTGTTTTATGAAATTTTGTTGGCGCTCCGCGAAAACATATAACTTCTGGGGAAGAAATGATTTTCTAAAGGGCGGAAATAATAGTTTTTTAGCTAGGGGGTTTCTGCCGAAATTGAAATTGTTATTTGTCAAAAAGCGAATTAAATATCTTAACATCCTGGAACGATAGGCTTGGCCTATTGAGCTAGTTATTAGTTCCATCAATGTGGGTATTTTGTAATGTATTAAATAGGAGAACAAGCTCTGTAGCACTTTGGCTCATGAAATAGTATACACTACTGGTAAAATATAAAAATTTATAATGATATTGCTATGCTTGTTGTTGTCTACTTTATATGACCACTTATTGAACAAAAAAGTAGCGTAACTGATGCATCGCCATTGGCCAAAATTATTCTGCGCATGCTCCTTCTTCTCTGTCCGAATTGGGACCAAAACAGTTACACGACAGAAAGCCTAGACATGTCAAAGTCCTTGTTTTTCTAAGACCTTAATTCTAATATAAATTAGACCTTCAATTTTAATTTAAATTATTATCAAGCACTTGGACATTATTTCTTTATTTTAATTTACAGTCTGGATTAAAACCTCAAAAATTAACTATTAATTTTGAGCATAAATCTTCTGAAGCGTGGAAAGTATCAAATTTTATCACATTTGTTTATCTAAAATTAGTCGAAATAACGTTTTAAAGCAAGTATTAATGAGGGATTTTTTCAACTGAACTTTTTCTGGCGTGTAAAAATTTAAAACAAACTAATTGAACCATACAGGGAGAATATTAATGATCACTAAAACATCAGTTGTAAATCCAAAACTTGTAAGAATTAAATATTTTTATTTTCATCAACAGTAAAATAGTGTTTGGGTTTTCAAAAGAGCATGTTTTAGTGATCGCCCTGTTTCACAGAGCAGCTCGGGTGTATATGCGCGCGCAAGTTGCTCTGTGGGCGCAAGCGGCTCGAAAATGACCTTTCAGGCTTAATAAATAATATTTTTTAGTTGATTATCAAAAATTTAAGTTAAAACTAGTTCAAGGCACGTCAGTCAAAAAAACCCGGATTATGTCGCAATGAGGGCCCCCAGCCCTGCAACAAAAAGTAATTTTGAGAAGAATTTTTTTTACGAATTTCCGTCCTAATATATTCCCATGAATCAGTGTTATATTTTAAATTTTTTAAAAAACATTTTAGATTTTTATTTGTTCTTATTCTGACGTGCCCGCGCAAAATATTCTATAATTTATATATTTTTTTAAATCAATAAAATACTTACCTAAAGCCTGTAAATGTCATGAGCATTATGAAAAAAGAAGATAATTTCAGAAAATAGTTCTATTCTTGAACTAGCCTGAAATTTTCTAAATTTCACATCATCGTTTCAGGCGAGATTTAAAGCTGGATGGCAGTTCAGAGTGTCTCAAAAAATTGACATGGATTTTTTGCGACATTCTTGAAGGCAAGCTCCGTTACGATATTTTTCTTGCTCAATTTGAGAGTTACAGAAAGTTGTAAGAACTGAACTGAAATGTATTTTTTAATGCGTTTGGTTTTTAAGTCAATGGTAACCCTTCACACCTTAGTTTAATATTATTGGGAAAACTCATTCCGAATTTCTGATTTTTAATAAATTCAAATGTTTTACTTTGTTTCTAAGAAAAGAGGAAAGGGGCTTTTAACTAAACATAGATAGAAATTAGTCTCAATTATTTATAGAAAAAATTGTGAGTAGATTGAACTAACATTTTTTAAGATAAAAAAGGACCGAAACTAAATCGAAATTTCATCATTTAGATTTTGAAACTGTAAAATTTTTAAAATACTCGATTATTGATTTGAATGATCTGTGACAAGGTGTGGTTCTGGCTGCTTGAATAACCAGTAGGTTTTCCTCTACAGACCCATGAACCAGGAGGTAAACTACAACATGATGCCAGTCTTCTGTAGTCAGGACTACATCATACTGGTATCCCTGACACCTATTGTTTGTGTGGCTAGTAGCTTCATTCATATCTCATTGCGCGAACATCATGGCTTTGTACATGCAGCGCAGGCGTGAGATTTTATACAGTATAAACGCCGAATTGAGAATACAAAATAATGTGTTCATCTAAGCATTTTAAAAAATCCGCAAAATTTTGCCTAAATGTTGGCAAAACTTTGTGAGGCTTATATTGAAAGGCAAAATTCTGTATATCTTCTCATTTAAATCATTGCACGCACATTCAGAATATTCATAATACTCACTATCATCAAATTTACAAATCTAATTTGTTCTTTTTTCCTCCCTTTCCTTCCCTGTTCCTTGCTCCTTTCCTAAATTAGGCATGTTACTTGAAAGCAATAGAAACTCGACCTGACTTTGCTGTGGCTTGGTCTAATCTTGGATGCGTCTTCAACGCTCAAGGAGAAATTTGGTTGGCGATCCATCACTTTGAGAAGGCCGTTGCTCTTGATCCAAATTTCTTGGATGCTTACATCAACCTTGGAAACGTTCTTAAAGAAGCAAGAATTTTCGACAGTGGGGAGGCAGATTTTCAATGAGCGGAGAATTGTAGAAAATATAAACGTATGTTTTTGTTCTTTGTCTAATAATGTAAATTTCCAGGGCGGTAGCGGCATATTTAAGAGCATTGAATCTCAGTCCTAATCATGCTGTTGTTCATGGAAACCTAGCATGTGTATACTACGAACAAGGCCTTATTGATCTAGCGGTAGACACTTATAGACGAGCTATTGAACTTCAACCAAACTTCCCCGATGCCTACTGTAACCTTGCTAACGCACTGAAGGAGAAAGGCTTGGTGGTCGAATCTGAAGAATGTTACAACACGGCTCTTCAGCTTTCTCCAACCCATGCCGATTCTTTAAACAATCTAGCAAATATCAAACGAGAACAAGGATATATAGAAGAGGCCACAAGACTGTATTTGAAGGCCCTTGAAGTCTTCCCCGAGTTTGCAGCTGCACATTCTAACCTTGCCTCCATCCTGCAGCAGCAAGGAAAGCTAAATGAAGCTCTTCTTCATTATAAAGAAGCAATCAGGATTCAACCTGCCTTTGCTGACGCTTACAGTAACATGGGTAATACATTGAAGGAGATGCATGATGTGCAAGGAGCTCTGCAATGCTACTCCAGAGCTATTCAGATAAACCCAGCCTTCGCTGACGCACATTCCAATTTGGCGTCAGTCCACAAGGACAGTGGAAACATACCTGAAGCTATCCAAAGTTATAGAACCGCCTTGAAACTTAAACCCGACTTTCCAGACGCGTACTGCAACCTAGCCCATTGCCTGCAGATAGTATGTGACTGGACAGATTATAATTCTAGGATGAAGAAAATCGTCGCAATCGTCGGTGACCAGTTGGAGAAGAATCGTTTACCTAGCGTACATCCTCATCATTCGATGCTGTATCCCCTGACCCATGAATATAGGAAAGGTATTGCTGCTAGACATGCCCAGCTCTGCTTGGAGAAGATTCAGGTTCTTCACAAGCCTCTGTACAAGTTCAGTCCTAATCTCTCCCCAGACGGTCGTCTCAGGATTGGTTATGTATCCTCGGATTTCGGAAACCATCCAACGTCGCATCTAATGCAGAGTGTTCCAGGATTTCATGACAGGTCAGTAAATATGCAAATTAGAAATTCACTGGCGGGGGGGATGCTAATATTTTGATATATAAGAGACGATAAGTTATTTTTATATTTCTTTCCTCAAAATAAATAGAAGTAACTAAATAAACTAAATATGCCATAATTTTAAAACAAATTTTTTTAGATCCCGTGTCGAGATTTTCTGTTATTCTCTCTCACCGGACGATGGAACCGCTTTCCGCCAAAAGGTTTTCGCTGAGGCTGAGCATTTCATTGATCTCTCCGCCGTACCATGTAACGGTAAGGCAGCTGACCGAATATATCAGGATGGAATCCATATTCTTGTAAATATGAACGGATACACCAAGGGAGCTAGGAATGAGATATTTGCGCTGCGACCAGCTCCTATTCAGGTAGTGAATTTAATCCATATTAACTGAAGATTTTGTCTTGTTAAAATTATTGTTCTAATACATAAATTACATAAATAATTGAGCCGATTTTTCGGGAAAATACACATGAGATAGCAAACTTTTATGATATTATTGCTGAAATTATCAACAAAGATAACAATTTCTTGACATTGCATGTTACAGGCTATGTGGTTGGGATACCCTGGAACTAGTGGGGCCAGCTTCATGGATTATATTATAACTGATAAACAAACCTCTCCCCTACAGATAGCTTCACAGTACAGGTACAGTTTTTTTTTCTAACGGGGGGTTGGGGGCGCGGCGGGGGAAAAAGCTTTTGAATAAATATGAAAATTTACTAATATGAAGAAAGAAGAGTTCTATAATTAAGAGGAATTTTTTGGCTTTAAATAATAGAATTAGATTTGTGTAATAACTTAAACTAATCATTTCTCTCTATATCAAACATTTTGCTGCAATGGCAAGACTAGATTGGGGGGGGGGGGGGGG